GTTCCTATTCATGCATGGCTGGTGACGCTTCATGCTGATAGTCTCTCGTAACTTACGGCTTCATTTTTTTTCTTTTTTTTTTGTGTGTGAACGATTATTCTAGATCATATAAAACGTTGCATATATGAAAAACCATTTCAAACTTAATTAACAATCTAAATAAACCCAGTATTTTTTCTCCACTAGTGCTGTCCCTATTGACGTGGTACTGACGTCGCTAATATTAATTTTTTGCGGAATAATTACACGTGTTAAAATTTTAATAATAAAAATAACAAACTTGCGAGTTTAGTATTGTATGCTTTACATGTTTGATGACTCTTGCCCTGCTTGTCCTTTCTAACTTGGAAGATGTACAAAAGACAAAGATCGCTGTGAAAAAAACATTTAAAAAAAACTCTAAAAACTAGCATTTCTCATACAACTATAACTACAACTACAATAAAATAACGATAAAACCCCGTAATCCTGCGACTCTGACAAGACTGGTGGCTGTGAATGAGTGGAATACTCTCATTTTGCGTGGGGTCTATGCAACTTGTTCCTAATGGCATATCTTCAAGAAAAATATGCCAGGTATTAAACTGTACCTGTTATAGGTAGCCTGTAGGGGTCGACAAAAACATCTACAGACATGCAGGGGTGCCCGTGGAAACCAATACGGGAACGGCAGAAACGACCGCAAAACAGGAGGTAACACTACAACCGCCGAAAGCTGGTCCGTGACTCACGGGACAAGCAATGTTTGAGATATCTTGTCTACTTTTCCTCCCTCACGTGAGGGTGAGTAGTGGTGTTCCAAAGCTGTCCAAGTGTCCTAGGGTCAGAGAGAAGGAGAGAAGAGAGAGAGAGTACACCAATGTCATCTTTGACCAGGGGTAGTTCTACGACTGCCATTTGCTACCCTCTACCAGGGCGACTGATTGATTTTTCACAAGATATTCACAGATATGTCATTAGATAAATAGACAGTCATTTGGTTCTCTGGCTTTTTTGGTAATTTGCCTATAATATCTGCCACCCTGGTAGAAGGAAGGCATTTGGTACCTTTACTTGTTGCCGCCCCATCCCTAGAAAGCTGTCAAATAGAGACCAGCGCAGGTTCTCTGTAGTACGTGTAGGAAGATCTTTGTGTGTCGCCAAATGTATATAATGTGCAAAACTAAGCTGGCAGGAACATTTACTTACACATAAATGGATTTTATTTTAATCGAAATTTTAATCAAATAAAGCACAGGTGGTGTTGTTAGCACAAATCTTCTTCCAAAACCTTAGCATCAGTTTCTGAAACTCAACCTTGTTTTCTGATTTTGTCAACAAGAAAGCAGTAAATGCATTTTATAAGCACTAACATCAATGATTCATCATACACGCCTTGTAATAATGATACATCTTATTACTAACTGTGCCGAGAGCTTTGTGTCATTACACTTTAGGCTTCAAATCCCGTTGCGATACAATCGACATCAAATTAGGGACCTCTTTAGGCACATTAAGTAACAAAAATATGAGCCATCATCTCTAAATTCGGACAAAATAGTAAGACCGCAATTTTTTTAAATTGCGTTTTTAAATTTTATTTTAATTTAATTTATTTATCTATTTATTTATTTTTGGTTAATGAACATTTAATTTGAATAGTGAGGATGCTTTCTTCCGTAATTTGCTCATTACCTTTTCTGTTTTCTACCAAGATAATAATGGAACTTGTTAATCCTCACGTAACTCCTACATTGTCATCGAGTGACCCGCAATTCTGAGAATTACAAGGAAACGTATAAACAATTGCTGTCATCAGTACTATTAGTCGTAATGAATTATTTATGATGATGGTGTTTTCAGTGTGTGCCTGTGTGTGTGTGTTGGGGGAGGGGTAGGGTTATATTGAAAGTTATAAATGATAGGCACAAAATGAAGATGCTTCAATCGTGTTTACCTTTGCTTGTGTGTGCGTGTGTGTGTGTGAGTGTGGGTGGGAGATTGATGATATTAGTATTTATGAATAATACAAATGTTTTCATAATTCATCCATTCTGATTGTTTACACGCGTGTGTTTGCGCATTTTTTGTATGCGCCAGCTAAGATCTAATAAACGGTATATTAGATCATAGGCGCCAGTAAGTGTGTATCTGTGGGTGTGTGTACGTGCACGCACACATGTTCGCGTTTACGTGCGTATGTGTGTTTTCGCAGTTAAGAAAAAACAAATCTGCGACAATACGCATATTCCTTCCGTGGTCATAGCGGCGGTGTTTATCTGTGTGTGGTATGAAGTGACCGGGGTTTCTTAAGTCGCTACTGGTATTTATATCACAGTTGTTATCATCCTTTCCAATCAGGATGAATCTGTTCCCGGACGAGTCTCATTAAGTTGTTTATGAATATAACGAAACACAAAATCTAAACAAGAAATTGCTTCCTAAATTATTAACACAAATTTGCAGAAAATTACTTTCGAATGACTAAGAGCGTTGTTTATTTGACGAAAAGACGCAGGAGGGTAGATGGCGTGATTTCTATGAAAAATGATTAATGAACAGGTTATGGACGGAATGAGTTTATGACTGAGATTGATGAAATTTTAATAATTCAAACTTCAGAGAAAATATCTGTTGAACACGTGCGCTTTCTTGATTATTCGTTTTTGTAGAAGGGGTGAGTAAATGTAACCTCCAATCTCTAGAAAAGATATTCTTGTTCTCTAAAAATAAATAGAAAGGCGTGCCCCGTAAAACCAAGGAATTTGACGTAAAAGAGTACGACAACATGTTTTTTACCTCAAAAAGGAAGAGGTCATACAAAAATGATAAAGATATCAGGGTATTATTTTTTCTCTCTTTACTTTTATCAAAGTTAAAGTTGGCTGAATAAGATTTTTTAAAAAGCGACTTTAACTGTCATTCAATCTACGATTTGATACAACAGATAACTGGTCTAGTTTAGACCGGTCGACCTTCGTTGAAACTCTCTCTCTCTCTCTCTCTCTCTCTCTCTCTCTCTCTCTCTCTCTCTCTCACACACACACACACACACACACACACACACACACGCTTTTATCCAGGACTCTTTATATCTTATATTTTGTAATTTTCAACAGGGATCATCTTCTAATTCCAACATGCTTACTCATCATTTATTCATGTATGGTGAACATTCCCTTTTCTATTTTGAGAATTGTTTGTCGTGAAAATGACTTTGGAGGCAAAAGGTCATAATTCATGCGTTAGCCGAAATACATACGTCACAATGGAACAGGGTCAATGCTCAGGGTGTATAGCATAATTTTCACAAGGGCGTTTTTTTGTTATTGTGATGCTTTTGATAAATATCAAAGTAAATATTCATCATTTTGAGAGTTAGAGAAAAGATCAGTACCATGAGCCATGTGCACGTTTCACATTTCGAACATTATGTGTAAAGTCAGCACATTTGATAAATGATGTTTAAAACTGTATTCTAGTTTTAATTGGGATATAACAAATAAAGGTTTATCTGTCACAAATTAGAAGGAATACGTCCGATAAGACATTAATATATATCATTTTTATTGCAGATTAACATTGTAATTAAAGACCGCGTTGGATTAAGAGATATAGGGAATCACGACTAATATCTACTTATGAAGCAAAAAAGATTGGATCGCACAAGTAATTTACCGATCTCAGCACAGTATCAATATCCCACATTAAAATCTTCAAATGACGAGAATCACACATTATTTTTAATAAAGTAAATGCCTGGGAAATGACACATTAGTAATGATATGACTGAGTAAGTTCACAGCGTGGCGGCAATTGAACTTTCCTCGTGAGAGAGCCATGACGCATCTTCTGTCACTCGACTATAGCTTTATGTTCGATCACTCTAGATGCCTCTGTGTTCTTTCGAAAACAATGGCAATCCACTGAGTAAGAGAAGACACAGAAGGCAATCCAAACTCAACCTTAACTTAGTCATGCAATTAGATTAATTCCATCATTGCCAAGTAGTACGTGTACTAAATACTCAAAGTAGGTTTACCCACACGATAGCGTTAAAATAGTCTACCTTAGTAATCAGAAAACCAGACTGCATAATAGACCTTTACAAATTAGGACTCCCATTCCCCAAATCAGATGATCCACAATGATTTTATTAAATTGGAAAGATTGAAAGTGAAAACGGGTAAAGCAAGTTTTTATGTGAGGTATGTACGGGAAGACTGGTCAGTCAATTAAAATTAAATTATTATAATAGAAATGCGATTAAACGTCGAATCCAAATGCGGGGAAAGGTCAAGCAATGGTGCGCGAGTAGCAAAAAAATACTTTTATTTTTCGAGAAAAATTCAATTTTTGGGAAAAATTCTGGATAGGATACCTCCAATTGTGTGAGAGTATAATAGATTCCAATAGTCTGGAATTAGGATAGGTTATCATCCTTTACCTGTGTAAATCCTACATCGACTTCTATACGTCCAAGTTTCATTTTAGGACAAGTAAAGTCTTAGAATAGGCATTGGCGTTCATATTGCGTTTTCCGGTAATATCTATCGGTCAAGTGAGGTAAGATCGCTTTCCTCGGAATAGAGGTTTAGTCAGTAACGAAAGGTTTGAGTGCTTTTTGGTAACAGAAACGTCATAAATGTAAGATTAGGTCTGTGCTTGTCAAAACATTGGGTAAAAATAACTGGTGAAGTCTGTACGGGGTAAAGAAAGGTACATTCGTACTTCACGATGATACGGATAAGCATCATGATGCATCTTTAGCTTAGGCTTGGATAGGCTTGAATAAAAGGTTTATTTGTCCAAATTTTAAGTAGGCTAAGCAAGCAGAATTTTATCTTAAAAAGATCTTGCTTATACTATCTCGGACACATCGGTTTGCTGTAACTGTCATTGAAAGTTAGTTAAAGGAGCACACTATTGTTTTAAAAAATGTTGCATACAAGGAGAACTTAAAAATAACTTTGTAAAGATCATCCTAAATTTCTATCGTACTCCCGGTAACTCACCTCCTTGTTGATATTTTTCGTCATTATTTTAATAAACTATTATTATAACTATAATGTGGATTGGAAACTGAATGAATGATTTATTTCAGGCTATGAAATTTTACGTAAAAAGATCTTAGGCGGCAAATGACTTATTACCAGTTTGTTGCTAACCTGAAGAAAAACCTATCCAGACTAACTTATTTCTAAACTATGATGTAATGAGGACTGCCGTATGTTTGAATTGATTTTAGTGGGAATAAAAGCCGCCTGAGAAAAGGGCTTCAAAGGTAAAGGAGAAAAATACAACAGCTAGAAACACATTTCAAAGATAAATTAAGTGACTCATAGGTTTGAAACAACTATGTATTGTGAATTAAAAGCGCGCCACACTGTCAGGAAGCGTCGATGGTAAATTGAAACTCCGGAAATTTCTACAACCCATCGACCCACATTTGAGGGATAGAGTTGATAACCGGCAGAGAGTTGAGTTATTAATTTTTTTCGATTTTCCTATTTTTACGATCTCTCCCACCCTGAGTATGAGCGATTAGTGATAGAAAATAAATACATGGCAAGATGGTGTTACCGCAAGTTTTTGTTAGGACTACTACTCTGAATTTAAAAACATCTTGCGCGTTTTCCATTTTGATAATCTTATGATTCATGCGAAGAAGTCAAACTAGACACACTGCTCGGTTTTACAGGATACGGGATCATCCTGAAATTATGTGAATCTGTAGCATACAGGGTGATTTCCCTCCCGGCGATTGAGCTGCACGTAATGCTAGAAAAAGCGTAAATAAGCAATATGAAAACGGGAGCAAAAACTGACGTCTGAGTTCACATTAAAGAAAAGATATGAGTTTTCTTTTATCAATTTTACCAGGAGAGTTTGACGAGTTTGGTAACATGCAATTAAGCAGCTTAAACTAATATTTCAATTTCACAAACAAGCCAGATATTATTTTGAAAACTACACCCTGCATCCTTGCGCACAAGGAAATTTCTCCTTGTGTCCGGAAGTTGATTTTGAATTTAGATGAAAAAGCACCTGTCAGATCTGTTCCCCTTTTATTACCCATAACATCTCCAGTCTGATTTTTTAAGGAGATTGGTTTAGATGATGTTACTCGAGAATATAAATATTCTTGTTTCTAAAGACCTCTTTTCATTAAATTTTATTCATTATTTAATTGGTATCTTCCCTCTTTTTTTCGAAATTGTTTTTTAAACCATTTTCTGATCAATAGTTTCTTTTAAAAACAACATTCTCCATACTGCCATATATTTCCATCCATCAAATCTTTTTTTTTTTTTCGATCAACGGGGAATGAACAATCCAATAAGGCCCCCCAAAAGACATATCTTGTACTAAGTTCGATAAGCCTGTATCACTGATGTTGGTGCACTCTCCTCTTTATCACTGTAAGTGCACTTATTCTACCCGGTAAGTCGCTGGAGGTCAAGTCTAGCTATGAGTCACCAAGCAAACACCAAATGTTGTATTTCAGTATTTCTTTTTTATTAGTTTTTTCTGTTGATGTCAGTGCATATATTTCATATGGTGAGTACAAGGTATAATGGATACTCCTGAGATCGAAGAAGAATCCTGCACAACTGACCAAAACAGATTAAATACATCTACATGTTATTTACAATGGAGAAACTCCGTAACTCGCTGTACAGGAGAAATAAAGTCCAGAACACTGGAAAAATTACCAATCCTCAAACATACCAGCAACAAGGTATGCAAACGTTTTTACACGACACTCAACACATCAAAATATGACAAAATAGCATTTAAAAAAATGAAAAAAAAGGGAAAAGACACAATCTTACAATGACAGATGCAATATACAATGACAAGAAGAAAACAGTTGCAGGTCTCTACGTGAAAACTCCTAAATTGTCTACCTTGAAATATGGAATGTGACTGCAAGAATCTGAGGTGGTTTATGCTAAACACATGCCTAGAGCTCATTTCCTAACATAAGGTGTTACCATTACGGCATATAGGCACATTTACACTCAACAAATTGTTCAACATACTCCACAGTATAACTGCTATATTGGTTTGTGTCCAAGGCACTAAGGCATCGTAATTTTTGTAGAACTATTTAATTTTAATTGCTAAATGTCATAAAACTGGATATTGAACCTCAGCTTCTTTATAAAATACAAAGTCTTGCAAATATATCTATCTGCAAACTGAACTTGGCCATGGTGTATAATTGATGCCTATGTGCGAAATGGTATGTTGTGAGTAAAGTAATGCATTTATTGTATTCATAGTATTTTGGTGGTTTCTTAACCCTACAAATGAACTCATGGCAATAAAAAAAGACAATATCTGTCTGAAATACATTTTTTTTCATAGTACAATAAGAAAGAGAGTGAAAAGATTGTTTTACAACAGTTAAACAACAACAATTACAAAAAACCTATTGGTAAATTATTGTCTTTTTAAATGAAAAAAAAATCACAGACATGTATACCAACAATAGTACACATAACAGATGGCACTGTTAATCGCTAAAAACCCAGAGGAAAAGTAAAATACTAGTCTATTAGTCACTGCATGATCACCCAATCTACAGAACAATATTGCAGTTATAGTATGATCACCTAAAATGTTTCAATGCACAAGCTTCCTGTCATTTTGATAATGTACCCTCATCAACTACTGTGGTTTCTGACTGACAGCTGTTGGCACACGGATATGATTTACCTACAACTGAAACAACCTGCATTAATGAAAAGGCACTTTTGAATGTTGCATATGGCAAAGTGCATGATCCATCCAATAACCTGCAAGTACCCTGAGTTTCACAGTCTGCTGTGGATTATCTTGTCAATAGGAGCCAAGATTTCCTTGATCAAAAGTTAACAAGGGCTCATAGGAAACAAGGACCGACTGAACAGTCTGAAATTCAGGGTACCTAACGGTGGATGTTTTTTAGGATGTTGGCACTGCTGGTTGGAAAAACAAAGTTGGACACTTGGGGCATCATATTATGTTCTTGCATATGTTTTATGTATAAATTGGACCCAGTACCATGTTTTCATCTGGTCCTTGTACACCTATTCACAGTATGTCAGAGTTACCTGCATTCAAATTTTCTCAATTTAAAACATAACAGGAAACTTTATGTTTTAAACATGTTGAAAAAAATAACTTATTAAAGGTTAAAGTCATTCCACCCCTCTTGAAAACAGAAAATAATTACATACAATATTGCACTTCATTTTCAGTCTCACATCATCCTTCATATATCCATATAGAATAAATCATGACCAAGATTCTTTAGTTCCATACAGAATCATGGCCACACATTTCTTGCCTAACCATTTGCTTCAGTCATACATATTTCAGTGATGAGACAACAATATATTGGCATCTGAGTCTGTGGAGTTTTTGATTTCATATTTGACTCTGGTCACACACTGGTCTCAATGACAAGGCGAGGTTCTAGAACTCGCTGTGCTTTTCCTGAGTTTAAAGCCTGCTCAAATTCCAGTAGCTGTCCCATAAAGTTAAAATTAGGTGAAATTATGGACCGTTTGTTTTTCACATATTTATATGCATCCACCATGACCATGCGAGTGTGCTTCAGCAGGTATGCTATCGTAATGGTCGCAGATCTGGACACTCCTGCATGGCAGTGTACGAGGACGTTTGCACCACTGTTTCTGGCTTCCTCTGAAATTAAAAAAAAATCTTGTAAAAAATAAGGAAAGAAAAGGGATTACTTTTTTATGGCATTTTTAAACGACACAAATGTTGGCAAGATATCTTATTCCTTAGCTTCAAGGATGTTCTTACCGCAAAAACAATATTGTCATATATTATTATGCAAATCCAGCATCTTGCCTTTTTTTGTATCAATAACATGACGAAAAAAATATAAATAATAAAAAAAAAATAAATAAGGAAGCAATTTTATATAAACAACTTACAAGAAAAGCCTTGTCATGTAAATCCATTGTTACCAGTATTTTTCCTGGTCTGACTCATCTCTTAAACTAGTAATACATGCAAGGGCTTTCATGTTTAGAAAACTGAACAACAATGAGCTATCATTTTTCAGGATATTTATCTAGTTTCTATATATGTATTACAATCAACAATGTTTGCCTATAGTAGTTTTTACATGCAACATTTCTATGTAGGTGAAAAGAATAATAAAATATTGATAGGTTCCCTCCATATGTCTAAGTTTTAAACCTAACCCATTATAATTTTATTTGTTTTAAATTCACTACCTCAACGGAGACATCTGACAACTGCATATCTCATGAAAACAGATTTTCCCTGTTTTCATCCAATTAGCTATTTTTGGAATTTATGTCAATGATTTACATGGACAAAAATAATGATGATAATAATCATGACACTATCAGCTTGTTTTCCTCACAACATAAGGTCAGCCAAATTGATTCTGTAACCTGAAGAACATTTCTCATATGATCAATACATGGGAAGTCAACTTCAAGTGGTGACTCACCTTCGGAACACCAGTAGGTAAACACTTACAAGAACCTATTAATTATTCAACTGTTAGAAAATTTAACAAAAGGATTTAGCCATAAAACATTACCTGTGAAGGCAAGGCCTTAGGATTAAGGCTGCATTGCTTAATTGTGTTCAAACAAAAACAACTGTGTCATAAGACAAACTGTCACTGCTCCAAAAAGTTTTAAAATTATAGTCACTGGCACACAGACTCACACTCCATTCAATGTGAAAAAATGGTCTAGTGTATTGCTTTGTGTTAATTGTTTCACCTATTGTATACCCCAGAAATGAACACACAGCAACTATGCAATTACAAAAAAGATCAAATCTGCTTCTTCATTGTAACATCTTTCCAGCACTATAACTATTTATTTATATTTCAAATTGAGGTTTTAACAAAGCAGACTGGTTCATGAATTCTCACTTCACTCTTCCCTCTCCCAGACCAGGCAGGTGTTAGGCAGCTAGACAGCTTAGACAACAGCATCACCTGCTTCCCAAATTTGGGCAAAATTTTACAACCGAGAAAATTCAAAAACCAGCTGGATCTTGCAGCTGCATTTCCGGTAATGTGTTTACCTATTTTCCTAAATAATGCTCTGTATAAAGGATACATAGTTATATAAAATTCATAAAACTTATGGGAATAATTTAGGTAGTCTGATATATTAATAGGACAGCAGTACGTTTTTCATGTAAGAAATGGCTCAACACTTGAGTCACTCTGCCCTCAGTCTACCACAAAAGACTAAATTTGAGCTTGTTTACACAGATAGAACAGATATCAAGGATTCGTCAGGCAAAGCATACTTTTTTACACCCCTTCTGTTCATCTATGTCAAACCTGAACCGACAATAACAGTGTGAGTCAGAGCAAGCGGAACCCCTTTCCTAAATATAACCTTGCAGCCCACAGCTATTTTGAGACTGGAGAGAATGATGAATGTTTTGGAATCTTAATTCATCTATTTTTCATTCATTTATGTGGATTTCTGAGGTTTTCTTGGATTTTTCCTACAAGTGCATGACCCCGTTCTATATTTAACTTTTTAGTCAACATATGCATAAATCTTAAAATAATTTCTTGAACTGTGCAACTTCAGTGGTCTTTTTACACTGAGAAAGCAATTGTTCTTAAACTGCTTTTTCTTTCTTTATGCAATTTTTAAAAGTAAAAAACATTATTTTTATCTGCTATAGTAGGAGCATATTTTTTTCTCTCAATGTTCTTTGGAACATAAAGGACAACATAGTTCTACACTGGAAACATGTTCTAGAATTATAAGATAAATTCATATGTTTCTATTTTTTCTTTCAAAACATACAATTAAAATTACCCAACCTAAATTAAAAGTGATTCCCAAGCTTTTTTATCTTTGAATACCCTCAAATAATAAATACGTGTGACTAAGCTATCTTGACCCTACTTCTTGTTGACATCTGCTTTGTGTCGTTTTCTGAATGGAGCATAAAACAGTCAAGCACAGAACCCTGAAGATCTAAGGTGTCTTAATTACTGTAATGAAAACAATTAACAAATGCAATCAAGGTCTATGACATGACTCATCTCTCATTTTGTGGAACAATCCAAGTAAGATCCTAAAGTAAACTGGTTTCCAAAACCCTTTGAACAATACTGAATATTGACATATAGAAACAGTAGTTTACTCTGTGTGCACATTGTTCAAAAATTAATTTTTTCTATAGATGCTCAAAGTGTTTCCATTGATTTTCTAGCACAATGCATCATTTATATCCTAGAACATTTCTTTTTCATCACTGAACACTGGACTTTTTTAATTCCCTGTACTTTTCACTCTGCCATCTGCTTACCATTGATCTAGATTACATGCTGGTGATATTGCCATAAAAGTGTCCAATTAACTTGATTAAAGCCTGTATTAATTAGTGCTTTGTATCTTCATTTGTACGGAACTATACAAAGCTAGTAGGATGCTATGAGTCACTTTTATCATGTGAACTAATATTGGTATAAACTGAATGGCTTTTTTATGCTCTAAAGTTTCCTGCACTCTTCTGCCAGTTATATCCTCTCTTTGATCAATGTAACCATTATTGTAAAATTTAAAGAAATCTCTTAAAACCAAAAAAAAAAATCATTTCATGAATGGATTCGCTAGCAACAATACTTGCTCATAAAACACAAAGAGAAGCCTTTATGGTCCGTCATCTATGGTGCAGATGTATACAGTACAAAGACCAGGCTTTTTACTACAGTCCTTTCTTTTCTAATGAAGGAAATATGCTAAGGAAATGCACGTCTCAGTGTTAAAAGCCTAAAACAACTGGTATTATTAATGAGTACATTTACCAATCCAGCTGTAAAATGAACTTAAGTTTGCCAGTTCCTGATGCACGAGAGGCCATTCATCATCCACCAGACTCTGTTCATGAATGGGAACTCTAGATCTATTCTCAATGGTTTCCAATATTTAACCAACAGGAGAACTTTTATTAGAAAACTGAGTTAAACTACAAAAAGTCTTTGTGACAGTTGTTTGATTAAGAGATTTATTTTGTATTGCCTTCCAATTAACAGTCATGCTTCAGTTTCCTTTGCATAAATGTTATCTAAACCAACTCCATCTTAATTAATTATGGTCTGATGACAACCTCGTAATGTCTAAACTTTTTATACTTAAGATTCTTTGTAAATTTTTGTTATCAAACATTTAATAAATAATATCATGACAGTATCATTTTCAATAATGTAAAACAATTTTGTTTTATTTTGCTTCTGTCTTCCAGGAAAAGAAAAAATAAATCCTTAAGGTTAACCACAATGTCACACTTCAGTTTGCTACAGTAACTGAGTAACTGTAAACTATCATTCTTGGATTATCTTAATTGATAAAGCTGTCTTCAGAAAATTATATCAGAATTTTTTTGGATGCAATATGTTCTGTGGTTTCCTTTTCACTTATCTTCTTTGTTCTCTCTGTCTAATTATTATAATATGCCAATGAGTCATCTCAACTTTTGTTCAAGGAAAAGATCCAAATTGGTTCAAATGACACTTTCCTGATCAACTCGAGTCGGATGTCTATTTCATCCCCGCTTATTCCTTCTGATTGAGTTACTTCAATCAGAATGATCAACTTCATTTCATCCTACTGGATCATTTTCTGCATAATTTGCTTTGATTAGGAGAAATACAGCCTATTTAGCTTTAAGCTTCTTTAATTAATTCTTTTCTTGAATAAACATAACTTGATTTCTTGCTTGAATTTTGGAAAACCAAATTAATTTCAAGATCAATAAATTGCTTCTGAGACCCATTTATAACACCACCAGAGACTCTCTTGCTTCTGATCTTTTTGCCTGTCAAGTTGCATTACTAATTTGTTGCCCAAATCTCAGTAGTTTATATCATTTGTTCTAATGGCAATATGGTGCCTTCAAAAAGTGATGACTCTTTTTTAATTATGAACGAGGAGACAAGATTGTCTGTATGAAATCATTATTTCACAGTCAAATTTGTCTAAAAAGTCAATATCCTTTTTTCTACATGAAAACTGCACTTTTTCAAATGTAGAATTGATCAGCTACCAATACATTACGAGCAAAACAAAAAAAATTATCATTATTGTTACATACAAACAGACAGTTATATAATGGGCTTACCTATAAAATCAAAAGCTTCCTGGAAGTACTGTGTGAGGTTTTGCTGGCAACTATCAGATGCTGGCAATCTTTTATACTTGATTCCCTGATGCTCATGTTGATATGGAATGTGGGATGTTACATTGAGAACATATGTGATGTTAAGATCTTTTAATCTTTGAAGATCAGCAGCATCTCTTTCGTTACCTAAAATTTAATCATTCACAAATATTAGATTTAAAGATGAAAAAATTCTATCAAAATTTTACATACACTAAATGCTATTAATTCTTTTAAGTACAATCTCTTAATTATAAAATTTAATTCAAATTTACGATTATCTAATTGAATTCAAGTCTTACATGGTTATATTCATTATTATATGGTCTTTTCAGTTAAATTCTGTTAAATGAAAAATTTAGATATGTTGTACTGAGAAACAACTCCACAGTATCTACATCAGTAACCAATTTGAATTATTTCATATTCCATTCAATTTAACAAAATTTCATAGTTATTTTTATTAAAAACACTAAATTCATGCCCTTCTTCATTTGCAAATTTTTAACAAACAACCCTCAATGTTTCAAACTTATATGCAGTTTTCTACCAAACAATGGCCTGGGTGATTCATCCACATATGTACCTTTTGTGTAAATCAACAATTCCCTCGAGAGTACGTTCACACTCCAAATCTTTTATTTGTGAGAAAACACCTGCCCTTTTCCTCAGGTGTAGCTTAAACAGTCCTCCTTGCACCTTTAGGTTACCCATTAATGAGACCCAAAAAGCAATGAAACTACTTAGAGCTTATAAAACAGCTGCTGGCTACTGTTAACAAACAGTAATAGTTCCTCCAGGCATTGTCTAAAGTTCTGTGAAGGTTGTTTAGGAGTGCACCGTGAAATACACACCAGGCACAATACAAAAGATGGGAGCAGACAGATAGGCGGGCAGAAATTTGTAATAGAAGGATCACACAGGTTTCCAGAAAATTATAGTAAATTGAGCTGATAAATCACCAAGCACAAAAGTAAATGATGGAAAAATGATTTTAAATGCATAATATAATTGATATTTGAACCTTGCAGAAAACGGTATTTAAGGAATTAAAAAATGAACTCCTAAATTACAAACCTAAATACAGAAAAGGCAGAATTGCTGTGGCTGTGGTATTTTCTATATCAACTTCTTGGTCGTGAATGAATGATGTGGTAGGGCTGTGAAGAGGTGCTGATGAGTCTTTGGTTCCCTGAGATTTCAGCGACTTGTCACACAAATCACCATATGAGCTTTTAAATTCTGTTAAACCACCTGAAAACAAATTATGCTGATTACCAATTTATTCTTTCTACAAAATACAAAGGTAAAAATGAAAACTGTTGACAAAATGCTATCATGTTTTATAAAAACTTCAAACAATTAGTTTTGAAAAATATAAAATTATAAAATTTCACTTACTAAAATCCATAAATTCCTTTCATATAATGATTAATAAATATAACGTAAGAAATAATGTCTGTGCTGTGACTTACACTTTTGTCTGACTAATAGTATTATTTAAATGAGTAATTTCAATCAGTCTCATACAAGAACTATTTCTGTGAGACAAGAACTATTTTTGTGAAACAACAATTATTTACGTGAATAAGTTAAATAAAGAAAATGAACCTATGCATATGCAAGTAAATAACTACCACTAAAAGTTCTCAAAAAAAAAAAAAAAGACAAATAATTATCCAATATCTTCTTCAAATTCACACATAAAAAGCCCTTTGGTGGTATTCCAACTCACCAGACCCTCCAGGAAGTTCCAGACGCATCCTTGAATTTGTACAAAACTTTGGCAACTGTGCATTTGAACGTCTTTTACGCATGCGTCGAGGCACATCCAACGTAAAAGTCAACATGGTTGCATTGAACTCATTGCTAACAAATAGCCAAATTTTTTTCTCTCAACTTTCTGTCAGTGGAACCATCACTAAATATATGGACTGAGAGAACGGAGTGTGCCTGGTAAAGCTACTAAGGTGGAACTGAGGCTCATCATGTTGGCTGATTGTATGACTGATGGGGATGACTCACCTCAGTCAGCCTAGCCAGCTACAGCTCCATATTATGTTTAGTGTAGCAAAGGCTGGCCACAATACAAGATGACTGGTGACCGCTGACCACAAAATCTGAGGTCATTTAGTGTTCAGAATTGCTCACTGAAATTCTTAATCACATGAGGACTCTCAGACAGACAGACAGACATGTGTTTCGGATGTTGCAGAATTTTCTATTTTTAAGAAATTGCATATGTATGATCTCGGCATTTTTTTATGTTGAATCCTTGTTTTTTATTAATCTAATTTTTTAAAATAAAAGTAAAAATAGATGTAACACCTATGTAAATCTGTTTCCAAATCTTAAAACTTATCTTTATATCTAAGGGCATTGTTATTCTCTTATACAAATCACTTTTATGTCATTAGAGAAGCACTGTGATAATTTGTTAATCAACCCATCTAGAAAATCAATTACATGATTGTTACACAATTTGGGATAGGATACTGCTGTAATGGGTATTGATTAACACAAAATAAGATGGTAACAATCACATCTTAATCCTACCTGTCAAAGAAACCACAAGTTTCACATTTTTTTAAGTAACCTGCTGTTATGTAAAGTGCTACCACAACAGGGCAGTAAGCAATTAGGGCAGAAGCACCAAATAATTAAAAAGAAAAAAACCCAAACATTTGAACTATTCTACAGTTACATGTGTGCTATTTGTTCAACAATAAAAAGGAAAGCTACAAGAAATCATGCAGTGAAATAAAAACAGTGTACTGCGGTCACTCCTAGATCGTATGATGTTAAAACAGCTCAAAGACGGCAGCAACAACAACAAAGTATCTTCTGACTATAGCACATATCTACTTTGACTCACCACCAAAGGTATGTGCTTTAAACTGAAGCCACGTGTGGCCAGACCAGCAAACTAAGGTGTTTCACCAAAATAGGAACTCTCCAGGTAATTTCTCCGAGGAGTGAGATATTAATAGCTCTGAGCCACCCACTCCATTTATGAGACCCAAGTTCAACTCAGTCACAAAGGCATGTGAGGAAAAGTCATACCCAAGAGTTTACAGGGATTCTAACACATAGCCCTATTTTCACTTTAGATATGAAAACTGCAAGTGGGTGATACATTATTAATAGCCAATAACTTATTGGTGTAAAACTCAATTTTTATTATCGGTTCCCTTTGAATATTAAGGAGTTCTTTCAAAATTGATACAAGACAATGACTTTAACAGAGATTGGGATTAGAATGAAGAAGAAATTTCTAGGCTAATAAACTGATGATTTCCTAGTTGTAACTGATGGATAGCTGTATGACAATATATACATATAAAACTCCAAACCATTAAAAGAGGACCATTGCATTTCTATGGAGAAGGGGTATGTCACTTCTCTTTTGAAATATGAAATAAAAAACATGTATGTATTTGTTTCCTTTTGTCGTGAATCTACAATTGGTTCTATTGTGTATTATAAATATCATCAACTGGGTTCTCCTGGCAACTGTGCCTGTTATAACCTCTGGTTGATGCCGCCAAATAGTAAACAAGTGAATCATCACTAGCCAAGCCTTATAAGCATAGCACCACTGACCTCTTTCATAGGTAACTTTATTTATTTGCTGTTTGCCAAAAATACATATAAACAACAATTATCCTGTCATTGCCTATTAATTAGGAATGCTTTGCTTATCTAGGCACTTAATGGCTTTGGCTGATACTCGTTCATCTTAAGAGAAATTGTAAATCCCTAAGATGACCATTCAAGGAAATTCATTACTGCCTTTCAATGGCTTTCCCATGAATCACAAACAGAAATCTTTGAAGTTGCTGGCTTCTGATCCTAGGAATTAATTACAACCAATTAAACAATCTGGTTGAGTCACTAACATGGGACAGACTGTCTCCACTAAAAAACCCCCGTGGCTAATTTCACATTTTTTGTTCAATCAATCATAAAAGTAGATGGTCTAATTACTCGCTGGGTTAGAAGAAATACATTTCCAGCAACTTAAAACCTGACTTATCACACAAAAATAATTCACACTATCACTTCTTAACATGGATCACATCTCATCTATAAGCTAATAATAAATTATGACTTTTAGAAAATTTGTAATAGATCTTTTTGCAATGCTGAGCTATGCAATATGAATCAGTAGAAGTGATGACTGACCTTATATTAATCAGACAGCTGGTTGGACAATGGTCACAAAAATTAATTGCACAATAGTAATTGATAATATCATAAAACAAATAACTTTGGGATGATTCCTAATAGTATCTGATAAGAAAGATGACCACCAAAGGGCTTTTCTAGAAGATTATGGAATTGTGTAAACAGTCGTCCTTATGTGATTTTGATTAAATAAATCTACCTGAATTAATGTCTAATGTAATTTTTAGAGTATAAACTATACCATATATTTACTATACCTTTTAAAATTGTCACTCTTTTTCCTTCCTTCATCAAGGATAGCAGCACTAAATGGAGGGGGCTGGAGGGGTTTACTTTAGAAATGTCAGTTGTATTTTCATCGTAAATATACACTTCCTTAGAAGGATACCTTCTAAACATTTCCTTCCCTTCGCTTGATGAGATAAGATCGACTAATCCAATCCGTCCTTTTTGTAATTGTTTCTTGTGAAACCTATCCGCACAGTTTACGTTCAAAGCGCCTTGTATATGGCCCATGTTGAAGGCCAAAAAAGACCGACAGTCTAACAACATCGGTCTCGTCCTTTTCATTTTGGATGCTAGTTCATTTGGGGAAATAGTCCTTACATTAGAGAGATTCATTCTTGAACTTTTGGTATCGAACAAAGTTAGTGTCCCTACCGCCAGGGCCATCCTTGTCTCCTCCACAACTCTAGGCCTTTTTCTTGCGATAACGCTACTTTGGTCGTTCAGAAATGGTCGCAAGGGTGCCAAACTCAATTTCAACGCAGCGCGTCGATCAGCAAGGCTTCCTAAAGTTAGGCACTCAGATGCAACCACTGCAGGCATCACTCCACTGGAATATTTGGCCCTGCCAAAATTTTGAGATGCGTAGTCTAACACTTACTCAAGCATAATGGCGCATCTCCATCACTACATGCGTTCCATTCACAAGTCGTGAGTCACTGGTGTGCCGTGTGTTACACAAAGTTTTCGTAAACAGTGACGAAGTTGACTCCGAGACAAATTGGTTTCACTCACTGTCGCGTGTGGACGCTTCCGAATGAAGAGAAACTTTCTAGAAATAACCGGTTATCTTAGATTACACCCCTGATACCTACAAATCACCTTCCCGTCTGTGTGTTTGTTGATGTACACACCGTATGGCTTCACGGGAGTGACGTCACTATTTGTGCTAAATTTAGACAGCTGTAGCCAAACGACGTCATCTCTATGTTGATTGGTGACCCAATCTCGTTCTCGCCAGTTTGGCAAGTGCGCGAACAAAGATGGCGGACTAGTTGCTACAACAATATGAGTAATGCGTAGCCCAAGAGAACGTGCCTCTCTCAGGCAAAATGGGTCAGTGTAAGTGATTTCGAAATAGACATGGCGAGTGATGAGCTACTAATGCTCAAACTGAGACATCTTTTAAACTATTAAAAGGAAACAGAGCGACATTTGCGTTTATAAACAGTTTCATTTTGAATGAATGTATTTCGATCGGTTCCACTTGAACTTTGAATTGAAGTTTTGGCTTTTGCTACTTCTTTTTTTACTTGTCACAGTCTCTCAGAGTGTATCTCTGACTGTCATCTGAAGTTTAAGCTGTAATTAACATTTTTACATTTCAGGGAGGTGTTGACAAAAACAGGAATGCCATGCGTAATACTAGTTCATTCAACAAATACAGTAGAAGCTAAACCGTTGCTCCTGGCTATTAGAAAATGTGTATAAAACAATGAACTTACAGTATTTCCCTCATTTCTCAACTAATACAGTTATGTGAAGGGTATATATTGCTGCAGTTAAACCAGCAACATTTCCATGACAAGTAGGCCTTCACAATTTGAAGGACCTTAGCACATTCCATGAGAGATATTACATTGTATCAGGCCGTGCAATAACCATACTAGTATACAGTACAGTAATATTACCAATAACATTATATGCAACCATGACATATCTCTAAATGCACAGCTTACTGTTTAGCAGTCAATGTTTGAAACTGTGACAACTTGAATTGTAGCATTTAGATTGGTATTTTATCCTAACTAAAGTATCAATTTAGTTTAGCTAATTGCTGATAAACAAAAAGTTTTTTTTTAAACATATAGACTGTAATATTGTTACCAGTGAGGAGTCATTATGGATCTTATACACCAGTTGCCCTCAGGAACACACTACAACACCTTTATACTGATATTTGACAAAGTCTCAGGTAATGCCAAAGTTCAGTATATGCTGGTTGATCCTGGGAAGAAAGCCAGGGTTGTTCCAAAGGTAACTTCAGTAAACATGCCACGTCTGAAAGATCGTACAGGATTCAGAGCTGTGGTTTATGACAATTGCCTGTATATTATTGGAGGAAAAGACAGAGAGTCTGGAACTTGTATGAACACAATGTACAAGTTTGATCCAGAAAGAAACACATGGATAAGGAAAGCATCCATGATCAGGGCTAGAACGCGCTTTACTGTGGATGCTATTGGTGGAAATTTGATTGTGACAGGTACAAACATTTTCAAAATTTGAACTTTTTAAAGGTAAAGATATTGTATTTATATAGTAATAAAAATAAGGGCACTGTTTTAAGAATTTTATAACATTTCTGAATCATAAATCACTTTTTGATGGACTTTTATATCCTAGAGTTGAACATTTCCCACTCTATACATTACTTGTGATTTTATGTTGCATTTTGACACTATTTTATCATTATTTTAATGAAAAAGAGAGATTAATCTTAATTAAAAACTCAGATAGGAAATTTGTTGATCATTTGTTATGTATAAATAACATGATAAAATGTACATGTAAATACTGTACCCAGCAAAACAAATTTTCATAATGATTTTGCCAAATAAAACATAAGCACCCATTACAGGAGGGGAGGTTAGAAATGGCAAACTCACAGATTCAGTGGAAGTATATGATCCTGTGGATAATATCTGGGCAGAGGTATCCCCCTTACCAAGACCTAGGGCAGATCATGGCAGCTGTGTTGTGGATGGAAAATTATTGGTTTCTGGAGGGTTGAGCAATATCAAATTTCAGTGCTCAAATGTATTTTGGTAAGTAGAGTAGAATTTTGAGGTTGGGAAGAATGTTGGCCAATATGCTATTGTGTCGGCATAATTAACTTTAGGATAATTGTAATTTTTTATTAGTAGGAATAGTGTTATACATTTTAATTAAGGAGACACGTAATGTACATGCATGATATTTAAATACAAGAAAATGGACCTTAACTTCAGAAGGAGCCAAGACAATGCAGTTTCCTGATTGGATCATTCTAGTAAATATCAAAATATATCCAAGCCTAATTAAAAGCATGATGATAAGATACAATAGTCACATATATTTAGAAACCTCATTTTTCACAGAATGTAACATTTCTTTTAGATAATTAAATGAAAAAAAAAGACATGTTTTTGTTAAGTCATCAATGAAGTAATGCATATCAATTATTTAATATTAGGATGTATGACCCCAAAACAGACAGGTGGAGGGAGAGTGTCAAAGGAGGTTTTTTACCACAAGAAAGAGATAAACATGTGATGGTAACAACAGCAAAGAAACAAATTTATCTTGTAGGCGGTAAGTTCTTAAAATTGTTATAAATTACAAAATAAGGCAGCCTGATTAAACTTGTTTGACGTACAGCACTTACTGTAAGTTACACTCAAAGTTCAAGTCTAATAGTAAGGGGGGAGGGGGGGGTAAGTGCATGCACATATTTTTCCTTTCCCACACCCTTGCCTGAATTTGCTTATGGGTAGTAATCACTATATTGTCCTTTCCATACAGTATATTCTTTTTAACCATAAATTTTATGTTGATATATGTTGCTTAGTAACCAGGTGATTTTGTTTGTCAATTTGAAGAATGTTATTTGTTATTGAAGATATGCAGTTAATATCTTAGTAACTTCATGTGTATATTTATTATTTTTGTATTGTTGTTTTATAGAATATATGTCATCAGTGTTATTTTTAAAATTTAGATAACCACATTTAGCAACTGATCATTACATTCAGTTTCATAAAACCACTTTTGATTAGAAGGAACCGCAGTAAACAACCATGGTGTCTTAAATATTGTATAGTACATGGAAAGGGGACCAGTATTATATCTACAATAACTTTAAAACATTTTCTTAAATCTGTTTAAGGGAAAATGAAACTGAATTGAAATTAAATGAATTTGGTCTTTTGCAATATTACAGGGGTTACAGTTGATAAGAAAACCAAGAAAAAAGAAGAAGGAAGCATTTGCTGCTATGAATGGGATCCTAAGCATGCCGGAACTTGGGTTACAAGTCTCCCTGCCATGTTTCATCCAAGAAGTCAATGTGGTGTTGTTCCTTTAGGTGATTAAAAAAAATTAATGAAAATAAGCTGCTTTTGTAAGCCCAAATGATTTATTTTAAAACTTCAGTGTGTTGACGTATTTGTTCTCCATATGATGGAAATAATTTTTAGAAATTGAAGAAATTTAGCCTAACATTGAATTTTTTTATCTACCAATATTTTTTTTTGTTATTTATCTGACAGGAATTTTTGTTTTATTTTAAGGTCACAGATTGTATGTCATAGGAGGCCATACCTTCGAAGATGACAGAAACGTAACAATGATAGAATATTACAATATGAAGAAAAGGAAGTGGTATGAATGTTTCCCACTTGATGCTGAAGGCTTATATGATGTTGATGTCTGTGTACTGAGAGTTCCATTTGAAAATAAAGAATTTAGTAGTCTTGGGATTTGCATGTATGATCGGTGGATATTATGGTAAAATTTATTTGTAATAATTGCTTACCACTGATTGATCGAAAAAAAATAACTTTGACATATGACGGAAATGGCCTTGGTTTGCAAAATATTAGAAAATTAAAAAGAAGATTAAATCTGTGATCTATAGAAATGCCTGGCTCTGCCCAGGTTAAAATTTGTTTGAATTACAGAAAACAACAGAGCAATAGAAGAATTAAAGGTATTAAAATCTCATAAATTCTCTGCTCATTATTGACAGTTAATACTACATGTAATGTTGAATTTTGAATGTCAGTTATCATGTTGTAATTTGGTTGACTGTACTCACATGGGATTTGTTCAATGTAGTTATTGTGTATGTGTTTTGTGACAATACTCAACAATTTCTGTTATACACATTTATACACATTTTTTGTACATGTGTTTCACTATAGTGCTTTAAATACCCAGTGATATAGAATATATTGACATTGGATTTATACAGTTATGATACATTTCTCTGAGAGAACATTTAAAGAGAGTTCTGTTGCTCAGGATTTAAAGCAGATATTAAATATGAGTGTTACAAACATTCCTTCCATCCTGTTTAATGGATTTTTTTTAGAATTTTATCAGTTTGTCATTTTACATTCTGAAATTCTATTTTAGAAAGTATACTACAGGTACCAACATAAATTTTTTAATGTGTACGTAAGGTGCATTATGAGCTTTTCATACTTCAGCAGAATTATGGAATATTATTTCAATTAAATTCTTATACTTACTTTTTAAGCACATATTAAAATGTTAACAACTATATACTTATATAGACATGTGAAAATTTTAGAAATTGTGAAAAATTAGATAATTCAATTCTGCAAATGTTAGGGTGCAGATATTGTCTATGGTACACAATTTTGAATACACAAGACTGTTGTTATGAGAAATATTTTAAACACCTGTTTTTATTCCTTTTATTTATGAAAGATTCAGTAACTGAAAGGTTATAATGTTTAACCTGTCATTATACTTCATAAATGAAACATGAATTATCTCTACCCTACAGTTTATAGTAATTACTGTAATATATTTTTAATCTGGCCTAATTTTCAGCTTATGGATTTAGAATATCTAGAACAGAATTTGTGACATATTTTCATTGTGTGAAGACCTGAATATCAGATAATTTTTGTTAAAAATGCTCATATTTTAGGTTAAATTGAGTTGTTAAAAAGCAACAGATTTGAAGCAGTTTTTAATAAGAACAGAATTCAATTTTTTATTTAATTTTTTTTCCATAATTATTTTAAAGAAAAATTATCAGGTGCATTTTTTTATACTGAACATTACCTGATAGACCCTTTAAAAACAGCATTCACAGTGCAATTATTGTTTATATACACTTTGCTCACATCAGTTTTTATTGTTGTAGCCATACTCAGCACTTGCACATGCACTAGTCTTTTGTTAATGTGATCAGTGCACATATTTGTCACAGTTTTTTTAAACACATTTTGAAAAATAAATGTTTTAACAGGTGTTCACTCTATGTGTTGTGTGTAAATGCCCAGCATGTTTAACATTAATTATAGAAGTTATAACCCCATAGAACTTATAATTTTATGTATTAAAATCCTAGTAATTCAATTTTGCCAGCTAGCTTTGTAACATATGACTCATTATGACTCAATATATTTTAAGAACTATTGAATTTTAAGCCAAATAGCTTTGTTTTGCATCAGACCATACCTTTATCATGGACACAGATGAGCACTTGCAAATGAAAATTTTCAGCTAAATGCAAGTACTGCAGAAACAGACAACTACTATGGTGGTATATGGTAGTTCTAAAGTAGACATCAACGTGCACATTGGTGAAGAAAATCAAACAAGAACAAAATGTATACAGTACACATTGGTCATCTTTAGTCTTTGTTCTCTCTCTTCTTTAACAACATTAGTCAGTGAGAGTCTGCATGTTAATCATTTTATAATTATTATTTATTTGTATTCTACATAAGATGTGAAAATGCTGGATATTTGACAGGTACATATACATGTACAGTACCCTGGATATCTCTCCACAATACAAGAGATAAGGCCTCCCCCCCCCCCCCCCCACCTCCAAAAGAAAAATCTGTCCATTTTCACGTTTCTTGTTGTGCACAAAGCTACCTGACATTTTCCTGAAGGCATCTTTGTCATTATTAGCTAATTCATATCTTTATAACACGTGTTTACTCTCAGTGTTGCTGTTATTACACACACACACACACACACACACACACACACACACACACGTGTATTTGTTTACATCTCGTAACAAATCTCGCGTGATTAGAGCAATATCTTCGGATGACGTCAATAGTTCAATTGTCCCTATCCCCCTATACGGGCACCTGCTTATATTATGTGTATAAAAGCCAGGCAGTGGCAGAAGTTGCTGGCTTCGGTGAAGTCCACTTGCTAGAAGAAACCCAACACCTAAGGAATAATTTCTCATAAAAAGAAAGTCATGTCGTCACAGAACCCAGTGGTAAGTAGATGTGCACGAAAGAGATACGTTTTTGTAGGTAATGAAAGGGTACTATTTTAAAATGACGTAGAACTTCTAGCAAAATACGGCTAATGGCTTTCTTTGACTGAAACACATGCATGTTTAATTATCCATTCATTCAACATTTGTAGTCTGTCTTTACGTAGTTTACGCGCTTACACTATTTATATTATCTGTTATCAAATTGAAACGATCGTATCCATGAACGGCCTGGAGAAGAAAATGATAAGTTTGCCTGTATTTCGAGTTTCTCACGTTCGGCTACATATAAACCAGCACTTTGGATGAGTCCAAACGCCGGCGAGTCCATTAACTTTACAGTGAAGTGGTGTTGATGTTGTTAGTACATAAATACAAAAGTTGCAGTATGCATTGAGTTTTACGTTCATTGGGATATAATATCGGATGTAATATTGACAACGACAGTAATTTAGGCCATATCTGTTGTAAACATGCGCATTGGTATACATTGATTGGTTTTTTTTTTATTACATACATTAACTTGGATATTCTTTATATGTGAAAAGTAAATATTAAACGGAAAAAATAAGGTATTTTTCGATTGAAATCTGTGTTGTTAAAGTTCAATTTTGATTCTGAGCTTAATATTCTAGTATTTTTCATTCAGATGTAAAGGTATTTATATTGTGCCAAGTACACCAACCTTTACCTCACATGAACTCTTTGTTTTAGCCAAAGTTATACAGGTCAGTGGTTGATGATGTGATTAACAATGTCCGAGAAGCATTTCTGGATGAAGGGGTGGATGAGCAAGTTCTACAAGAATTAAAACAGGTACTCAGAGATTATCTTTAATAGTCTACACTGTTTATAATAATAATAAAGGATATTAAAAAAAGGCAAATTTTGTTAATGTTATAATTCATATGTAGGTGATTGCAACTAATTTATGAAATGTAATTTTCTAGTGGGGTAATTTCATGTAGTAACCAAGATCTACATTGGCTATTTCGTATTTGAACAATTCATGTTTTAATTTGGATGTGTTATTGTTTTGTTTAAACATTTCTACATTGAAAACATTTGTACCAGCTATGGGAAAGCAAACTGTACCAGTCCAAGGCAGTAGAAGGGATGCCTGCAGAACACGACCAGTACCTCCAGCAGTTTGCAGCTTTAGCTCAGCCACAACAGCCAAAACAACAGCAGGCCCAGCAGAGAATCCATGTCCAACAAGTCCCCCAGCAGTCTCAACCTCGCCAACAGACACCACAACAGCCGCAGCAACCGCAACAACAGCCGCAGCAAGGTGACATTTATACAATTTCTTCAAATAAGATGGTTTCAGACCAATGTTGTTTACCACTGGGGTTACTGTTGCACTGCACTGTTATGCAGATTGTTCCTATTTCCAGTCTTACATTTGTTCTTGTGTTGATGTAAAAAAATTCTTTATGTGGTTACAAACATTGAAATGCTTACCACATGTAAATATTTTCTGTAGCAAAAGTTAATCCTTGTTATTTAAATTCATATTTTATTTATTAAGTGTCAAAGAATCTTTCATATGTGTTTAGGTGCAACAGCTTTACCAACCATACAGATTCCACTATTCACAAATTTAGGAGGAACATTAGACATTGTAAGTTGATTGAAAGTCTTTATTTTTTGCTTATAATTTCATAACTTGATGAAGTGTTGTATAACTTCTACAAGTATGATTTCAGATGTAAACATCACAAAAGAAATTTAAGTAATTGGCAAATTAAGGTCTTTGTATAGCACTTTGATATAGTTCACTAATAAATAATTTTCAACTACATAAAATTGTATCACCTGATGTAAATTTGTGTGATTGTGAAGATACATTTTTTTAGGGGAGGGGTTGTAAATTTATGGGCTCAGACATTAAGTTGTGAATATAAGAATATTTATTATTTTTATATCCTTATTTCAGAGCAATGCAGCTGCAGCAGCCACCATAGCATTACCAGTACCTTTATATCAACAACAGCTGCAGGCCTTGCAAGCACAGGGAATCACGCTCCAACAGACAAGTAAGAAAGAAGTTTGTCATGTGCACCATAACGGGGACTGGAAGCTATATTTTTGGAGAGCTTTGTCACACAGTAACTTAATGATTAGAAAATAGAGCATGAAATATGAATAAAAAAAGGTTTGAAGATGAAGGTTTAGATATACCTTTGCAATTCTTACAGAGTTTTGGTCAGTGCATGTAAACATTTGTTTTGTTTATGTTTATATTTGAACTCTCAGCAAAACTCATTATTGGTTTTGGTATTTTAACCTTGGCACTAATAATTTAGTGACATTGCGATATGTTTCATTTTCTTAAATCTAAAAACTAGCAGTAAGAAATTGCCTAATATATACATTTTTGCATTAGATGTTTTTCTTATTTATTCATTTATTTAAAAATCTTTTCTGAAATGGGCATCTTTGAATTTAGGTACTGGTCAGTTCATAGCAATCCAGCAGGCTGCCCAGCCACAGGCCCAAGCTACAGGACAGCCAGTTCTTACAACGCAGCCACAGTTTGCAACAGTAAATCCACAACATATACAGACAGTACCAGTGCAATCAGGACAACAGGTGACTTCTGGTTCAATATTAAAGGACCGTTCCACTGTATCTTCTCCTCTGCAACATTTTACCATACAGAAGACTTCTCATATTAGAATAATAATAATAATAGTATAAGCAGTTGATTTTCCTCTTATGTGTTTTGCATAAAAATCTTAGGTATATAATACTCATCCCAGCACAGGAAGAATACTTAATCATGTATATATTTGTTCACAGAGTCAAACCCCACTACTACAGCTGGATGGTGCTAATGATACCAGCTCTGAAGAAGAAGATGATGATGATAAGGATGATGATGATGATGACCAGGAAGATGAGGAGAACGAGTATCAGGGAGAGGAAGAGGTACTTTTTTTATTTAACTTTGATATGTTTGTATTGATTGAAGTAAAATAATTGTTGTTTTTTTTCTGAAATGTGTAAATCATTTTCAGTATAAGCAGTACTCACTTTGAGGAAATTTATGATGTTTTTTATACCTGTGAGGTTTTCATTCTGTTTTTTTAAAAAAAGGATAAATTTAATTCTCACTTACATAGTTGTTAAGTGTACCTTGGTTGCTTTTTGGATTTATAAAGCTCTATTTCAAATGTCATAGAGATTTCTAATTAAAAAGGAGGCATTTTTAAATTTATTTTAATTAATATACAGTGTTCATTCTAGGAATGTTTCAATGTGGGACAAAGGGCCCCCAACATTAAAAAAAGTGGGTCATTACATTTTAAAGTGGGCCCTTGTTCAAATCTTGAAATTATAATATGTAATGCATGTTGTTTTACTGCTGTAGTATTTATGTTCAGAGATGAAAAAAATTTATTATAAAAATATGTTGACTTATAGTTGATCACATTCAATAAGTAATCCCAATTTTCTAAAACAAAACCCTTGAGTTGACGCTCCAATTTTTGTTAACAAGTATAAGATAACACTAAAATCTGTTCACGATTTATTCACCAATAACCAAGTTCTTACTATAACAACATTTTAAACCCATTTTTGGCTTCAATTTATGAAAAATCCATTTAATTTTACCTCTTCTGTCCTCTGTCCCATTATCAATGACCCTTGACTAACTGGCATGCATTCATGACTTATGAAATTAATTGTCTCATCCCTGATAATGATATATAATTCGTTGATAAAAAGCTACCAGATTGAGAATGATATCACACATATTTCGACAGCAGAGACATAGGTCTTACTAAAAATCACTGAGAATTGTTCCTTTTTTGATGTTGTTAATGAGATTGTCAATGAATTGACACTGTATTGCCTTGCACTGTTTCTCATAATTAGCACAAGTCACAAGTTGGTCCCTGGAGAATTTACGATGACCTTTTCCCCACTTTCAGGAGAAATTCTTCAATTTAGCTGCCAGGTATACCAGACAACATTTAAGTCCTTCCGAACTTGTGAATTGCAATGCCCTCTTAAACAATCCAGTAAACTGATTTCACCACTGCCATGATTGCTCCATCTCTACCTAGAAATGTTATAAAAGATACAATTAAATTTGAATTTGGGCATAAAAACCTACATAAAATGTTAAGTAGTGTTGAAGGTATCCACAAAGAATACTCCAGCACACTATCCCTTACTTTATTTTTCCCTTAATCACCATGAACTGAGACCAAAAAGCCTGTTTAGCTTGAGCTGCTTCCGATGTTTCTTGCATGGCAGCGGACGTCTCATGTCGCCTAAGGGTACTCGTTCAAAATTTATTAGTCCCTTGAAAGAAGATATTGTCCTTTTTTTCAATGCATAAGCGTTATCGTCGTGTACAAGCCACTTGTAAGTATTTCTCCACCATTTTTGAAACGACCTTGAAGTTGCATTGCTATTCGACGCGGTATCAGCAGTCGTGACGGCTGCACAAACTTTTGTTCTCTTTTCTGGTGGGAATGTCTGCTGTGCATGATCATGATCATCTCCATCGCTACTGTTCTGAGCCGTTTTAGAGTGATCTTCGGGATCGATTTTCTTTTAAAAACTTAAAATACCATTTTGCTTTCTCCGCCATCATGCACAATGTACGGGTTGATCAAATTGACTTACATGGACAATTAATCTCAGCCTATCAGGGATTCAGGAAAGGAGGGGCAATCGCCACTGATTTGCATAAAGCGCATGACGTCAGCATAAATTAAGATCTTTGTTAAAACTGTGACGCGTAAAGAATATATTCGTTACGTTTAACATTAGATCTTGATGTCAAGAGAAGTCAAGTAAACAATCAAACTTCGGCCGTGAATTTGCTGAATTGGAGGGCGCGTTTAGAACACAAAAATGCGCTGCTGTTAATTCTCTTGAATTTTGTTGGCGCAGCTCACTCTACGAAATGCGTCAATCACATTTTTTCTGCGTCAGTGACGCAAGGGCGCATCCTAGAATGAACACTGAATATATACATTAAATTTTGTCTTTTTTTTTCAGGAGCCTTTAAATTCCGGTGATGATGTGAGTGAAGAGGACCCTACAGAGTTGTTTGAAACAGATAATGTTGTAGTATGCCAGTATGATAAAGTAAGTTTCAGATTTATGATTTGGGTGATAGAGCCTAACATGCTGTTGAGAAATTAAACATGTTATAAAATGCTCTTCTTATGTACAGACACAGTAGTGACTATGTGTTGCCATCACCTGTGTCTTTCCACAGCAGGTGCAGTTTATTACAGGTAGTTATTAAGTACACAAGCTTCTAAACTTTTTTTGTTAGCATTAGTTGGCTTGCTTTAAATAAAGATGCATAACATTTGTACATTGAAATGATATTGTAATGAGGACAGTTGTTCCCACAACATTGTGGAAATACATGAGTTACAGTAAAACGTCATAGTGAAAAAGTGATAGTGATAGATATATTTATTACTTATTGCCATTTATTAAAATTGATGACCATTTTTACCTTTTTCAGATTAACAGAGCCAAAAACAGATGGAAATTCCATTTAAAAGATGGCATTATGAATCTCAATGGCAAAGACTATGTATTTCAAAAAGCTACAGGAGATGCTGAATGGTGATATTACAAGATCATGCTTCTTTGTTGGTTGTGCTTTGCAGGGCAGGTGGAATTCCTCGGAATTTGAAGGGTCACCGAGAGGGTCAAGAGCTGGTTATTGAGATTTATCTCCTGATGACTTTCCATATACTGCATATGTGCTATAATGCACTTGTACCAAAGAAATTTCCATCTCTGAAGTTGTTAAAAAAAAGAATTTTTTTATACTTTATATATGGGTGAAACTGCTATGTTCACGTTAATGCATGTACATGCACATTTTATTTTATAAGATGAAATGCCATATAGAAAGGATCAAAACTGAATTTTTCATGTTGATGAATGTTACCAAGGACTATATATTCTTCAATACAATTTATATCAAAAACAATGACACAGGTATCATGTACCTCTAATTGCATATTCCTGAAAATGCTTCATATGACAACAGGGCAACGTTCACTTTGTTTATTTCATATCTTGTCAGTCATTAAAATCGTGATTTTTGTCCTGTGATCCAATCATCTTTATTGAATCTGTCTTTTTGTACTTTATTAAGCAACCCACTTGAAAATGCTATAGATGTGACATGTATTTGTTAAAAAATGCACTGCAGAGCAGTGTATCAACATTGGCAAAACAAAGAAATAAAAAAATAATAAAAATTCAAATGTAAATTTTGGTATGTGTGTCTGTACAACCCAAGTTGGAAAGACTGCCACAAGAGTACTTGATCTGAAACTTCAACAGCAACTCTGAGATAAATGAAGTATAGCGTATTAAGAAATACCGTGAAAACGTCTTAGATTATCTTTAAAATCGATGAACATAAACCTTTAGTTCAACGAATTTTTTCAGGCCTTCTAGGACGTCCCTAAATAATGAATTTTGGTTATGTGGAAAATCAATCGTTTTTGTTTTAAAAAAGTTATGGAATCGGATTTACGGAAGGATAAAAAAAAAGAACTATCTGATAAGATTGGAACCTATATGGCACCAATGAAGTTTTATGAGCTTTCGCCAGTCGATGGATGACGTCATGGGGATTTCCCTACCAACCTCGATTTGAGACCATGAAGAAAAATAATGGCTGCCATTTCGAGTGAGTATCCCCAAGAAATATATATTTTTCTCGTGCAAATACATCTAAGCTTAATTGGTTTTACTGTGCGTCTTAGTCTCCATTTTGCCAGGACAACCAGGCCATATATATATGTTATGACATTGTTCAAAGAAGCATTTGTGGACGCTAGCACTTTGAATGACGATGTTTTCTTGTATTGGAGCAGATTTTCAGGCGTCATCAACGTATTTGAATTAATCATAGAAAATCTCATGGTCGGTGGCTCATTTTTTGTATGTACATTTATGCTTCATTTTTCAAAAAGAGGCATAGTATTCTTGGAACGAGGAGCTATTGGTTGGTAAATAGTTGTTACATTATGATAAAGTGGACCGAACATGGACGCATTAACCGGTAGGCCAAAAATGTGAGATTGTAATGTATTCAGATTATTGATATAACTCTACAGAAAGCACCCTTGTTGCTATTGTTTTGTAGATCATAACCCAAAGATTTCTGATGGTATCTTTAGGTCACTCCAGGAGCCCACTGAAAATGATGAAACTGTGGACACACACAGGTTAATGAAATGCAACTTATTTTTCATTGTCCTCTTTTGCACATAAAACTTCTGAAGCCCTGTTTGTATTGCATATCTAATCTTAATCTTGATCCAAAAAAAATACTTTTGTAACTAAAATATAGAGAGACATTAAAGCTGAAGCTGTTCAAATGACAAATGTTTTTGTATGTAGGAGTTTCAACTTCAATTTGTTTATTGACTTAAGTAATGGTGTCGTTGTCAGGTTCCTAAGTGCACCAGAAAGCAGATCCTGCCACTGCAGCCAGAGACTGTGCCACTCTCGGCCATCTTCCCAGGTAGAACCACTAAATCAAAGGCCTACCCTCAGAGGTCAATCTTCATGTGAAAATAATGAATGTGAAGTTGGCAACATTGAACCAGAGAGAGAGACAGATGCTACAGCTGTAAGAAACACACAACAGGTAGTTTGTGGTGCTGAGGGAATTACAGGCAGACAGAAGGGTCCTGATAGCCATATATTTTGTAGCCATGATAAGACAAACACCAGAGATGATGCTGTAAATCAAATCAGACAGAAGGGTCCTGATAGCCATATATTTTGTAGCCATGATAAGACAAACACCAGAGATGATGCTGTAAATCAAAGTATTAAAAATATTACTAGTGCTAGAGAGGCTGTTATGTCAGGATCTCTATTTAATGTTCCTCTGTATGGGGCAGCTAACGAGAGTGCTGAAGAAGGAATGGCATTCATGCAACAAAATATGCTTCAAAGCAACCATTCTGGAAAAGAAAATTTCCATCATATGCTTGAAAATGAAAGGAGCCGTTGCCAGTCTCTGCCAAACTATCATATTTCAAGAAGAGAGGCATGCTCTTGTTCTAAGGGAAGAGGGGCTCATCAGTGTGTTATTAGAGGTAGTGAAGAAGGCACAATGGAGATTGTGCATCCAGAGTCTGTGGCCAATATGGAGGTTGTACGAGATCCAGCCTCGGCTGAAAAACATGTGTTTGTAGTACAGCCCTGTTTTTCTCAGTTGAGCCAAACTGAAGGAAGGCAGCAAATCTGTCCACAGCAACCACTGGCCATCCCGTCTAGTTTTCTTGAACCAAGAACTGAGAATCCACAGGTGGATATCCGCATGGTGGAAAGAATGGTGGCTTATGGGGCTACGCAAGATTCGGTTCATTCTGATAATGAGCTGCCAAGTGTGAAACACATTGCATCCACCCAAGAAGCTAGAGTACCGGCAACAGAAAGTGATGTTCGGGGGCAGTCAAATTTTGCTTATAACTCTGTGCTTAAGTTAGATGGTGAAAACAGAACTGGAGAAAACAGTTTGAAACAGACAAGTAAATACCCAAGCATAGGTCCAGATCAACATTCTTGCCTTGCAAATAAGAATGTTTCACCTTCTCCAGGGGCCAGCTACATCATTGTAAATAGCATCCCCAGTATGAATACCACTACAAGAGCTGTGGCTCAGAACTTAAGCAACCAAATGAGGAGAATGGAGAGTGGTGTTGGAGGTAAGACACTTAAAATAAAATAATAGCATTATGAAACGCTGTGAATTCATTAATCAGTCATATTTGGCTTAATGATAAACAGTGGTGTTGCCTTGGAAAAAATGGATAAATTGGAAATGGGAAATTCATTTAGATCATTTTTATAAATAATTTTAACTTTGGTATAATATTTTGTGAAAAAATTGTTTTTAGCCTCAAACCTTGAAGCTTACCCAGTGAAAGAAAGCTCAAAATCGTGTGGAGTTTCAGCAATAGGAGCTGGAGAACCTATGTTTAGTGACCCTAAAGGTAATTTAGTATATGGTGAGGGTTGTCACAACATTGATAAATATGTAACATTGAACTTTCTGATTATGTCACACCAGTGTGAAGAAAATGTGGAGAACATGAATACAAACATTGTAAGTTGTGAGAAGTATAATGGTTGTTATTGGTCTGTTATGATTGAATCATTATTATCAAGGGTAAGGATAGCTCACTTGAGGTACATTGATTGATAGAAAAATGATTGTGATGGATTTCTTTTTTGACAGATGACTCCGGTAGTCTAAAGAAATGGTCATTTGGCCAGCAGAAATCACAGGAAAGTGGTTATGATGTAAATAGAGATCAGCAAGCTGTAGGCAAGTCAGTGGACACCAAAAATTTAACTCTCCTAACTTCAGGTACAACTTATTTTCATGTTTTGGTGTGGGTATAAAATTTTTTGATATAAGATATTGTTATTCAAATGAAGCATTTTACATAAGTAATNTCATTTGGCCAGCAGAAATCACAAGAAAGTGGTTTTGATGTAAATAGAGATCAGCAAGCTGTAGGCAAGTCAGTGGACACCAAAAATTTAACTCTCCTAACTTCAGGTACAACTTATTTTCATGTTTTGGTGTGGGTATAAAATTTTTTGATATAAGATATTGTTATTCAAATGAAGCATTTTACATAAGTAATAAATTAAACACAAATTTTATTTTTTTGTTGCAAACTGAAAATCTCCAAGGTGATTATAAAGGGGAAATCATAGCATAACATAAAAATAACAGTTTATATTTTACTCGCATTCAATTTGTACAATCTTTTTAATAAATAAATACCTTGTATCTATAGCTGCTGAGGATGATATGAAGAAGCAAAATACTGAAAATGGAGGCAGTGTGAGAGAGGTAAGTCTTAATTTCATTTCCTGTCAAGTTGTCTTGACCTAACCATGTCTGAACCATCCTAGCAGGCAATCTGATATAGATAAGCTCAAAGTGGGACGGGATTTGCATTGCTTTAAGTGAAACATCAGAATGATTAGATTTGCTGCCTACAGTTATGTTATCTTAATCAGGCAGCATACAGCTTATTTATTTAAGACATACATGTACCGTGATATTTACCTGTAAATATTGCAAACTCATACGATTCTTTTTTATTCTTCTTATCATGGAATGTTTCCTTCATTGTTTTCTTTTTTCCCTAAAAGCCATTAGGGTCATGGGCTGCAGAGGGTGGGGCTGCTGCACCAGTGCCCTCTACCTGTCAATGCCATAGTGCTCAGAGTAAGTTTTCATTCATGTGCTATTCCTAAGATTAATTTTCACTTCTGACAATAGAAACAATTAGGATTATATTCAGAAGATATTTTTATATGTCAGTACCAATAACATATGTTCCCAGTAGTGTTGATTTTACTTTAAAAATATAGAAAACTAAATTTAAACAAATTGTAAATGGAGTTGCCATTATTATCAGTGTATATGAAAACCTGTCAGTTTAATCAACTTTGCTTTCAGATGTTATTCCTGAAAAAGATTTTTATGTAGGAAGCCAAAGCCAGTTATCCAACTTAAACAGTGGCACATTTACCACCAAGACTAACATAGTAGATAACAACATGGATCTGTCAAGTGATGATTCCACTTCATTGTTGAAAATGTCTTCTTGTGAGAAGTCAAAAGTGGAACAATATGACCAGCTGGAGGTAGCTGATTTGCCATTGGACTTACTCCACGAGTTAGAACAGTACTTGGATCCAGAGAAGCCCCTCATTAAAGACTGGCGCCATCTGGCGAGCATCCACAAAGTGAAGAATAGGCAGATTCAGTATATTCGTTCTAATTTTCGTATTCCCAGTCCCACATCCCAGTTGTGGCAGCTTCCAGAATTTAATGGCTATACAGTTCTGCAGCTTAAACAGGATTTAAGGAAAATACAGAGGCTGGACTGCTTGGCTAAACTTGAGGATTACATTGAAAATCACATGGAGTTGCACTAAAACTTTGCAAAACTGTCTGTTGAATTCTTGGAATTCACCGTAGGATGAGAGATTTTTGCTCATAAATACTATCTTAATGAGTTATTATTATTATTATTATTATTATAACTTAAAGCCATTATTAGTTAAAATCAACTAAGATGCATTTACTTTGAAGCTATAGTGACTGTCAAGTGAATATCTCCATTGTGGACATAGCAAAATATTTTTCTTTGTCATTTACAATTTTTTTGTGTATTTATTTACACTGTGTTTGACTTCTAAAAACATTATGTACCTATGATGAGCAAAGAAACAAAGATATTTAATGTTATTTTAAGATCATGATTTCACAATGCATTGTAATACATAGTGTTAAAATTGTATTGTTAAAATTGAATGTATATAATAATACTGCTTAGCATGCAATACCAAGTCTGCTTTTAAGATTATAATATTTAATATTTGAAAGCTGCCTTGTACAAAAGTATTAAAAAATAAAACTGCTGAAGTCAAATAAATATTGGTTTTATAGTATGGTCTTCCGGTTGATATATTCCTCACCTGGATGTGTTGTCCACAATGTAACACAAAATGCCCTTGTTATGGCATGTAATAGGATGTTGTTTAAGATGTGACAAATTGGCACTAGTCTTCTCATATCAATCCTCTGGGATGAAAAGTATTTACTGAAATGAGCGATTTATTGAAGTGGCATGGATACCCTTCAACGCTTATAAACCACTCGCACTAGTTAATTTTACCACTCAAGTGACACTAACACAATTTAGTTACTCAAAGTTTTAAAACTGTCCCTTCTTCAAATTTCTGGACCTTTTTTAAATCCCTCCAATTTGTCTGTCAAAGTCTGATATGGTATGGTGCATTACTGTTGCACATGCCAAAATACAATTATTCAAATCAGTTGCCCAAAAGGTTATATATTGCACAGTAAGCAGAAAATCTGTTATAATAGTTTCAGGATATATGAAACCTTGCCCTTTGGTACATATTTAAGTGATGCTATTTAAAACTATATTTGGGACATTTGATAGGGCTTTGTGGTGAATGTTTTAATTCATCTTAAGAATGCAAACTTTCACCAAAGAAGTTCACATGGTTCAAAACCTTGTTTTAAATGAATTTTCCAATTAACTAATGAAGTTATAAATTTTATGATGTAAAGTTTTTAAATGGTTTACAGTAAGTTCACTTTATTTTCAAACTAATGGAAGAAAAGGTTTGTCTCAAGTCATTTATTAACACTCTTACCTTCACACCTCTAACAAGAGTACTTTTAACAAGTTAAAACATCTGTTTATCATGACAGAAATTCTAATAATTTCTGTCATCATTAATTTATTATACCTGAATACTTATCAGACAATAAACTGGCATAACAATTTAAAACATCAATATTAAAAGATTTATAGCAAAGATTATACTTCAATTTTGAAAGGCGCAATTTCTGCTTATAAAATAACGAAATAACTTCAGAATTTAGTTTGGCTTTTTTTGCCATGCACCTAACAAAGTTAAATAAAATGTCAACTCCTAGTGAAAAACAAAGATTTCAGACTGTGCATGTGCTTCTGACCATTTCAATCCTGAATAAGCAGTTAAAAGCACTTTCTGTGCACAATGCTGGGACCAGACTCATCATACTCCTGCTTACTTATCCACATCTGTTGGAAGGTTGACAGAGAGGAAAGAATGGAGCCACCAATCCATACGGAGTATTTTCTTTCTGGTGGAGCAATGATTTTGACTTTCATTGTGCTTGGGGCAAGGGCAGTGATTTCCTTCTGCATGCGGTCGGCAATTCCAGGGTACATAGTGCTCCCTCCAGATAACACAGAGTTACCATACAAATCTTTACGGATATCCACATCACACTTCATGATGGAATTGAAGCACGTTTCATGGATTCCAGCTGCTTCCATGCCAATGAAAGAAGGCTGGAACATGGACTCTGGACACCTGAACCTCTCGTTTCCAATGGTAATCACTTGACCATCTGGTAACTCGTAGCTCTTCTCCAAGGCGGATGACTGTGCTGCAGTTGCCAGCTCCTGCTCAAAATCAAGTGCAACATAACACAGTTTTTCCTTGATGTCACGAACAATTTCTCTCTCTGCTGTGGTAGTGAAGGAATATCCACGTTCTGTGAGGATCTTCATCAGGTAGTCTGTCAGGTCACGCCCAGCAAGGTCAAGACGAAGGATGGCATGGGGCAGGGCATAGCCTTCATAGATGGGAACAGTGTGGCTCACACCATCTCCAGAATCTAATACAATGCCAGTGGTACGGCCAGATGCATACAGCGAAAGCACTGCTTGGATACCAACATACATGGCGGGGGAGTTGAAGGTCTCAAACATGATCTGGGTCATCTTTTCTCTGTTGGCCTTTGGATTAAGGGGAGCTTCTGTCAGCAGAACTGGGTGTTCCTCTGGGGCCACACGCAGCTCATTGTAGAATGTATGATGCCAGATCTTCTCCATGTCATCCCAGTTTGTTACAATTCCATGCTCTATGGGGTATTTTAGGGTGAGGATACCTCTTTTGCTCTGAGCCTCGTCTCCAACATAGCTGTCCTTTTGACCCATTCCAACCATCACACCCTAAAGAGGGAGAAATTTTTAAATTAATAATCTTTAAATGTGGCCTAGATAATGCTCTTAATAAATACAAAACAATTCATAGATGCAACATTAGTATTACTTTTTTTAAAAAATGACAGATATTGCCCCCTCTCCAAATCTTAAAAATGGGCTATAAAATTCGTTTCACATACTTCAAAAATCTCCAAATTGATCAAACTTTTCAACTACTTCTCAAATACATTGCTATTTGTTGCTACATTTACTTATGAATGTTTTGCAAAGATTTTCAAGATTTTATAAAAACAATGTTATATTTCAATGATAAAAACTGACTGAATGATACTAAGTATCACTTTAGTATTCCATTCGTATACGAGACCTTCAAGGCTTCAACTCGCATGCATTTGAAGTCACCTTATAATTTTTAAAACTGCCCTACGATCGAGTTGTTTGTTACTGTTAATCACTTGTTGTATTGTGCCAGAGGAGACGAACACAGTTGATGACTTGGGATCACATCCTAACACAATACGGAATATCTGCGATTTTGAACGACGCGAATTTTCAAACATCCGAACGTGAATGCAGCATCAGCCCAAGTAAGCAGAAAATGGTTCCTCTTTGTGTTTCTTTCTATCTGAGAGACCACTGTCTTACTTTGGAGTCAAACTGAACATCAACAAGATACTCTTGCACAAACCCAAATCTTTTTACAAAGGTAGAATTATATAAAGGGTTAGTCTAACAGTTATTAATCTATGATAGGAATATCGAATAGTCCAATTTCCATTTGATATCATGTTTTCTTGCAAGGTTTATCTCTTTACCTGGTGGCGTGGTCTGCCAACGATGGACGGAAAAACCGCCCGTGGAGCATCATCACCAGCAAATCCGGCTTTACACATGCCAGAGCCATTATCAACGACAATTGCGGCAACTTCGTCGTCACACATATCTAAATGTCGCTCCTTATAAAAAACTACCGATCGAAAAAAAACGTTCGTGCACTCTTTTTCTTCAAACTTCAAGTGAGCTACCGCGTGCGTGACGTAGTTGCTTCTGAGAACTGATATCACGTGGGCAACCAAATATGGAATTGCAATTCCTAATTTGGAATTCAACTGATGAACATACAGATACTGCAACTGCAACCTGGCCAGGCCGCAAATCCGAGAAATAAAAGTAAAATTCACTAAAAATCTAGACTTTCTACACGGACGAATAAAAAGTTTTTTTCTGTATCCGGGAGGATTTAAACCTATTTTTATAAGAATTACAGACAATGAATGCAATTTGTGTGTCATAAATTTTGAATTTAAATTCTTTAAACCGAGGATTGTGACTACTTTGCGCAAAGTTGCTAATATAGATCTATGGGAAGTAACAAAAACATGTAATAATACTGCTAGTTTTAAAAAAGGAGGTCTGCAGGAACAATCATAGGCCTAATTGCAAGGGATGAGATATGATTTTCATTCATACCGATGAAAATTATCGTAGTTGCCTATAGGCTAGTTGGGGTTGAGGACACATCAATGTTTTTAAAATGACATTTTCGTCACCATTCCTTAAATTCACGTATACCTACATGTATGTGAACTCCAAGATATAATGATGTATCCCTGATAATATTACAAATAGTATTATGATTATTTCAAATTAGCCGTAACTGATATATATTTTTGTAATTTCAAAAGCAATATTTGTTCACAGCGAAATTTATTTGGCCAGTTGCAAGTAGGCTAATATGAACGGTAAGAAAATCATGAGAGTTTTTTTACGTCCGGTTGTAAAAGACTTCATAAACAGGCCCTAGGTTTGACTGGTGCTTTGACGGCTATACTGTAGGTTACTATAAAATTTTGAAAACGAAATGCATTCCCTGTTTTTATTTAGTTTTATCGTGAAACGGGGACTCTTTTCATTCAGAATTGAGATATCCGTAGCTTTGTAGACCTCATTGGTTTCACCTTACAATACGTTGTGATTAGACCTACCATACTACCTACTTTTTTGAAAAAAAATTAAAACTCTTCTTGGCAATTCCATAACAAGCAAGAAGTTGTATGGATAACTTGTTAAAGGATGTTCTTGTTTTAACTAGGGCCGTATGTGCTAACATTTCATTTACAAATAATAGAGAAAGGAGAAAGACAGAGGCCACAATGCGCCTTCTTGATTATCAGGATCGATTCACGTTTGTCACGTGTCATCCGAACCGATCCCGCGCTTCAGTGAACTTAATTTAGTCATCAACACCTTGGATATAATATCGCAATTTTGTCCATGTCAACATCAAAGAATTTCATCAGCCATATTCTGCTCTAAAAGTTACAATAATGGGTTAGACAAATACGAGTTGCAGTAGCCTCTACTTAGGCCACCACCCCCTTCCTCTGTATTCCTTTCGCAGTAACGGCAAATAGGCCAAGAGTTAAGGGGGAGTTGCTCCATCGTTTCTGTTGAGACTAACACCTAGAGCTTCATTCCCCGACTGTGGTGATATAAGTTTTTTTTTAATTTTATTTTATTTATTTTTTATTTTTTTGCTGTTGTCTGAAAAATCTATTATTGTAACTTTAATCGTGAGCAATTCTGAACGGTAAAATGGTACGCTGACGCCCAGGGTACCCGTACTTAGTCTCTTCGTCATGTTGGGCATATCGATTAAAAGTTGTTCAAGTTTTAAATGCTGTTCAAGCGAAGAATATCACTAGTTGTAATAAATCTGTCTTAGAAAATAAAGAGATTTCTCAAGAGTGCTGATATAATGCTATTTGGAATGTTAAAAATGTAATTTTATGTCGAGTGTTATGTATACCAATAAGGCAAAACACCGTAAATTTTAAAAGGACGCTGCAGAACAGCAAAGATATGATGGTCATTATGAAATTTGTTTTTTGTTTTTTGTTCATAAACCATTCAAAACACTGCATCACATTATGTCAAACATTTGGAGCTGTTCACTCATTACTTACAATCAGTATTTTAAAATTATTTGTAACTCTGGAAACAACAGATTTAATGCTTTTCGTCGGAACCTTCTGGTGAAAGCAAGCCCAGGAAACGGTCTGCTAGTCAAACTAACAAGAGTTTGACAGCTGGGTCGTTTTTTCTCAGTAGAGGTCTACAAAGTTTGTTGTGCGTTCCCATGGCAACAGAAGTAAATTTTTGTAATATTCAATTACGAACATTTTGAGCTTGGTTTCTGCGCACATTGGCCTCTCCGGTCGTGGACCGCGGCACGTTCATTATACAAATACCCTTGACAAATACCAGAAACCACAGACTCGATCATTGCTACACAGTCTTGCGCCAAAGGAGGACACGCTTCAAAAATGGCCAACAGAAGAGACGCATGGATTTGTCTATTAGCCGTGGGGATATGTTCTTGTCTTGCAGTTGGTAAGTAGGAAGTTATGACAAATGTATGTGATAAACTTTCGCGCCTCTCCTTTGGACTTACTCGTAATTAGAAATTAAAAGTAACTCAATCTCGCACACATGGCGTTCATAGCAACCGAGTCTGCCACAAATTTACAAAGAGCCTCTTAACGAGATAAATTTGTATTAAATCGTATATTGATTATAGCTTTGAAAATGTGCTCGTCGGTCAAATAATTTTCAATGCCTTTAGACGGCATTTAAATGTTTCAAATAATATATTGAAATTCTTTCTTTGAGGGTAGACGGAGCATTTCCTGTATCAAAAACATAGTATATGTTTCATAAAACAACTTTAAGACCATAGTTTAATAACGAAGGGACTCGCGGTTACTTTTTCCAAGGGAGTAAATTCATTTTTACTTGACTAAATAATTTAAGAAGAAAAACCGAATGACGATAAAAAGAATGGAAGGAACAAAAGCTGTAATGTGATTTCCAGAAGTATCGCTAACGATTTAATGAGAGTGAGCTTGGCGCAAAGGAATCCGTGGACTTGGAACTCCCAGCATCACATAAGTTTACGCTTTGGTCGAAATAAACACTTGCGAAATGTAAAACAGTGAAAGGATTTCGGGATTAGATGTTGTGTCTGGGGATTTTTTGCTTTTTATCTCTCTTCAAATTTTATCTGAACGATTGCTCAGGACGCTCATTTCTTGTGCAAATTGAGTCATTTGACTTCGGCAATTTTTCGCCAAACACATTAGCGTTCTTTGGACGCAATTTGTCTAAATAATAATGCTTTAATTTCATTCACATCTGGAAAACAATTCTGCTGCACAATTCGTTTTCTCGATACAAGACATTTAACTCGGCTGTGTACACATTTGTGGCTAGTATTTTTCTCCATCCACAGTTTACTTTGGGGCGCGATGGTGATGGCGATGGGCAGTTATTCCTGTCCTCGAAAGCTGTGTGAATAAACTATTGTAATATCTAGTTGCTATTTCAAGAACAATTTTCAGAGTACTGAACTTTTAACTATGATTTTTTCTTGAGTGTTAACAGTTATGTCTAGAAAAATATACATTCTGAATTAACTGGTCTTATTTGATTTTTTTCAAGATAATATGTTAATTTTTTGTGGCTAATATCCTGTACACGTAGGCCTACTTTGTTGTAGTAACATAAATATCAATTATGTTGATTGTTTGTAAACTTTGTAGTGATTGCTCATAAACTTTTTGGTGATTGTTGTTTTGTGATTTGGTCTACTCATGCTAGTAATGAATTTACAGGCGTTTGTACCACTTCTATTATAGTTTATTCAAAAACATAGAATGCTATTTTTAGTATTTAATATTTTAAAATATTATGTTCGATAGTGATATTTTAGATGTTTAGGAAGTCACCTAAAATGAGGTCAAATCCCTATACCTGAAAAAAATGTGGCCAAATACGTATTTGCCCTAGCTTACTTATGAATATGCGTGCTCTATGCTGTTACGGTCAATGGAATTTACAAACGTGAAGGTAATTCTGAGAAGAAAAAAAAATGAATGACGCAATGTTTTCCAGACATTTTGTCAAGCGTGGATCGACCTGGATTACGGACACCAACAGTCAAGGTTTGTTTCACTCGACAGCAGCGTATCGCCTTCTCAGGAGGGTGCAGTCGTCCCTTATTAGATTAGTGGGTAAAGTGCCCTGATTATTTCATATATTGCTGAGTTCACGTCAAATTGAGTTAAGGTTTTTATACTTCATTCATTCATTTATTTTTGATATTACCTTATTTCTTAAACTTACTCGCTTGAAGATCATTCACTCGTGCGAGGCATAGCATTTACCGTGAATCGTTTTCTTTTCTCATCACTGTTCATACATGTATTATGACAACGTGAACGTGACTTTTATCACCTTGGCTATTTTATAGGGAACGTAAGATGCGCTCCCTTTCCTATTTCTTTCCATTTATATCCATGTACATATATCATTGCCCATCATTGTTTTCTTACATATAAGGAAAAGGCATAAAAACAAGATGTAACAGATGTTCTTATAATTAGTACCTGGGCAGGATAAAGTTGCATCAAATATCAATTATGGTAATGGTGCGTAGCCACTTTCGTATACATACAAGAATAAAAAAAATCAACGTTTATGACAAGCAAACCGAGGCCAACTTGCGCATTAGTAATAGTTGTGGACTTCTGACCACACGTTGTTTTAACATTGCTGTCACTTCGCCAACTCCCCTTGAGACCAAGGTTGACCGAAGGGTCACCCGTGTTATGGCAACGGAGACGCGCATGATTCGTTTCACATGGTAACTGATCACAGAATCGAATACAAGATGGGATCGGGTTGCGATTTATGCCTTGTTGTTTGCACTTAGGACTCGTTATGTAACTGAACACAAGCGTAAAACTCTTCCGTCTCCCCGAAAAAAGCATGTTATCGCTTTAAGAAGTGGTTTTTAAAGTGAAAATCCGTCGTGGGACTTTCTAGGGGGTAAAGTGGGGACATTATTGATGGGTTAGGGTTTCTTTGGTATACTGCTTGTTGTTCCACGAAAAACTCTTGTATTTAGGGCGGGATAATTAACGCTTTCCCTCACATCTTATATATTATTTTTTTGAAGTAAAATAAAGATGACAAATGCACATACAAAATATTTGTAAGATATCTTAGATATAATCACTTACACCTCTACATATCATTTATACGTTTAAAATGTTCGAAAATGGCAAAAAGAAAAACAAATTGAAACGATAATTGATTCCTTTATCCATTTTTGCATAATTTCAAAGTAACCACTAACCCAGTGCCTCTAACTATATGTTTTGGAAGGAAGGGAAGGGTTGCCATTAAAGAAAAACCTCCTCCCTCCTCCCCCCCCCCCAAAAAAAAAAAAAAAAAAAAACAGGGGGGGGTTGTCCCCCCCCCCCCCCCAAACGCCCTTGCAGCCCACGGCCCTGAAAACAGGTCACACTTAATGTAACAGATAGGGAAAGCAAACCCGAAAACGCCAGCTACTAAAATCGTTGCACAGCTTAATAACGACATCTTTTTTTTATACAGATTTTCCTGACAACAAGGGCAAGAAATTTGTCGTCTTATTTCAAGACAACGATCCTTCTACCGAACCCGTGGAACTGTTCCTGACCACTACGGAAAAAGTGGTTGAGGCAAAAGTCAGCGCCCCACTTCTCGCAGAAAGAGGCTCCCGCCCTCACGTCGAACCAAAGACGGTACGTATACAGTAACTACCGATTGTTGATTTAACAGTTTGTAGTTATGAAGATTTAGACGCATTGACCCCAAAGGAACTTCTTTACAGAATTCGGTGCAAAGTTTGTAACACATTTCCAGGTGTCAAATCTCTGGTATTTACCGACCATTATTCTGTCGAATTCCAAACTCCAAAATGGTTTAATGGTGACGATTGGTACATGTAAAAACATTTCATGTCTCTCTTTCTCTTGTTCATTCATTCTCTTATTATTTTATTATTTACTCTCCGCCTCTCCGTGCAGATAGGGCGTTAGTAATGTCAAATTAAATTAATCATATTAAGAAACAAAATAATATCTATTTTCTCAGGTAAAGGTGACCAGAGGAGAGATCACTTCCGTGACACTGAACAATCGACTGCGCCTCAAGGGAACCAAGAAGGAAAACAAGGGCATTCTGATCGAGGCTACTGGTGAAGTTATCGTGTACGGAGCCAACAGAGGGTCGTTCAGCACAGACGCTTTCCTCTGTCTCCCAGTTGATATTTTAGGGACACAGTATTACGCGCCATCTTGGCCCAAGAAAGATCGATATATTGGGCCGCAAATAGGTAACGATCTGATGGCTGTTTTTTTAAATCAATACACATACAAAGTTACAAATTCCACAATGCGGCAATCCCTTTACATTTTCTATTATTTTTGTAAGCCTTGCATAAGTTTCAATGTTGACTAATAGACAAACTACCCGCCATGGCCCACAGGTTATTTCAGGTAAAACATATGATTTTCTGGGCAGAAAAACTGGCTTTTATCATTTCATTGGATTTGTTTAATTGTATTTTTCATACTAGAACAGGCCAACGTACTAAGCTTACTAACAACAGCAAGATAATGAGCTTATAAAATATACTGACGTTCAGTGGAATAAAAAAAAAACAAAACGTTTCCTTCATTCGGACACATTTCTAGTGAATTAATTTTTCAGGTGTGGTTGCCGTTGAAGACGGGACGCGTGTCACCTTTACCTTCCCCAATGATAACAGAAACATCAGCGTTTCATATGACGGTAGAACCTATGTTGACGGTAGCACATTGCAGGTGTCATTGGACAAATACGAGACCTTCCACGTCCAAAACGAGGCCGATCTCACCGGCACGAAGATCATCTCCACCAAACCAATTGCCGTCACGTCTGGAAACAAGCGAACCAAGGTTGGATTCCTGACAAGCTCGGATCATTTGGTGGAGATGATCCCCCCTGTCAGCACTTGGGGAAAGAAGTTTGTGACCGTGCCTATCGCTAAGAGGAAAGTCGGAGACATTTTCCGCATAATTGGTAAGTTTCAAAGGAAAGGAAAAGGTGCATGCATGTTTGAGTTCTAAAATAATGTAACACATTAACACCTTTTATATTATGATTGATATTTATATTCACTGATATACAAATATATATTAGCATCGTCAACGATATATACTGTATATTGGTCCTTTTTCAGCGACATGCTTCATATTTAACAAATGGATGATTAACCATGGGGTTGTGATAATTTATATCATTTTAACATAGATGTTACTCATATTGGATGTGCGTGTGTATTCATATTTATGCATTTTGAATTTTGCAGCCAGCAAACAAAACACTGTCATTTCTGTCCGGGGCACCGTCAACACAACTGTCCACAATTATACAGTCGACCAGGGCCAGTATCTAGATCTCGATGTAGCGTCTGATGAATTTTTGTACATCCACAGCAGCAACGCCATTTTGATCAATCAGCTCTGCAAGACTGGTAATAATTATTTATTTTATCACGCTCCGTTACGAATTTTAGGTACATTTTCTAAGTTTTATCTTCTGTATAAAATATTTGTCTTAACAGTTTACGAGAGAAAGAGTGAAAGAGAGAGAGAGTAATAAATTAACTGATGTTAATTTATTTTAGCTTACAGTGACAACACCGATCCTTTCATGATGTACCTACCGCCAGTGGAACAGTTCTCCGGAGCCTATACATTTGCCACCGTGAAAAGCTCCTACATATCATACAAAAACTTCGTCAACATTGTCATCAAAACTACAGAAATAAAAGGCCTTGTTCTTGACGGTTCTCCTATCAAGAAGGACGCGTTTGTCGGTAACTGGACTGTTATCGCCGGAACAGAGTACTCTGGAAACACCATTGCAGTCAGCCGTGGCACCCACAGCCTTTACCACGAGTCCCCAATAGTGTCGTTCGCCGCTTTCTTGTACGGGATGACAAACCAAGAGTCCTACGGCTATCCAGCCGGCACCCGTCTGGCTTCCATTGGGGACAGTTGTATAAAGAGCAAAAGCCCCGACTACGCTGACGGTAAGGACAATGATTGCGACGGGCGGATCGACGAAGAAATTCCAAACGGTGTTGATGACGATGGCGATGGGATTATAGACGAAGATCTTGCCTATGGTTCGGGGGAAAAGTGGGTACCCGGAAATAATGACAACACAGATTTTGACATCAAATTCGCTGCACGGAAGCAAGAGGAGGAGCGAAAGACTGTGACCATTGCGCTAGGTACCAGTATTCCCGCCGTGGCGCTAATCGCCCTTGGTATTCTTCTCTACCTGTTGTACAGAAAGAAGAGAGGGAATAATCAACAGCAAGCCTTGGTGCCGGAGTCAGGAGGTCCTCCCGGGAATCCCCCTGCTGCTGAAGCCTGGTAAATCAGAGGACGAGTGAACTCAATAGAACAAAAGACGTAACAACCTTCTAAGTTTTTTTACAGTTAACGAAAACATTCAAATTTATCAAAGCCGCTTTTTTGAAACTGACCAGACTGATTTTCTATGATGTCGATTTAGTATGAATTTACATTCCATCCAAAGGCGGTTCAAATAAACATATGACCAATTATTTATGCGACAATCGGAATACTGCGGGTGAGGTTATGTATTCATTAGTATTTTGTCTATCACAGTAAATTCTTAAACACCGATTTGAATGTATTTATGAAACATTTCAGACAGAGAGCTTGAGTACCTATATCAGAATAACTAAGAAAGCTTATTTTTTTAAAATTTTCGTCAGGATATCAACAAAAAACAAATAACCAAATGGGAAAAAATCAAATACCTGCTTCCAGATTAATTATAATGTATATAGCGAATTAGCGTTATCAATATTATAAACGTTTTTTATTTAAGAGCTCCTTCATTGGTTGCACAAACACAAAATGTGTCTAAACTCGAGGTGAGGTACCTTTTTGTGATCTCTAGTAAAGAGTACTATTTTAGATAGAAAATATTTAAAAATTGTAGAAATTGTGACAGCAAACTTACATTTAATAGATTAAGCACTAACAGAATATTAGAGATGACATTTATTGTTTCACGTATTATAGTATAGCAGTATTTAGGTTTTAAAATTGTAAAGTGGCATTGCAAAAGTCAGGTTGGTCAAATGGGCAACGCATCGTGATATGCGTATAGAAAACGAGCGGGAGAACCCAAATAGACTTATTAGAAAACAGTAAATAGACCGACCGCGTCAGTATCTACGTATAAAGCAGTTGGAGTTATGTCAGACGTAACTTTAATATGTAATTGGGCGAAAATATACGCATTCCCCACGGGGTGACAGAAATGACAGGCAGCGACTGTTATCTAAGGTTATTAAGGCCCGGAAATTCCATGGTGCCCTATGACATTTCTTACTTTTGATTTACAAGCTAAAAGTTAAGGAACGACGGGCAATTTAGCAAATGCATTTTTAAGGTAAAGGTATAGATGGAATTATAATAACTTGTATATAAATGGATCCAGATCTCGGTAGTAGACGGATGATCAGTGTGGCACTTAAATTAAGAGTCGATTCTTTCGACCAACAGACTTTTTAAAGTATTTTTATATCAAACACCGAAAATACATTTAGACCATACGTGACACATTTACACGGAAAATTCTGTATAATTTTTTCACCAAGCAGCAGTTATCGTTGATTTCAATAGCTTGTAAATGTAGGTATAGTATTAGATCGTTTGTTGCTCTCGTAATTAAAATTGAACTCAACGAAAAGAAAACAAGAAGTATTGATTATGGGACCATTTATTGTTAAATGAATTTGACTTCATCGATATTTATATGTGCCACTGTATTTTCATAAATACTTCACTTGATAATTGAACATCCTCTTTTAGCTGATATTAATTAATACGAGTTTTTAATTGGTCAAATTTTGTTTTGATATGAAAATGATAATCATATATTTCAATGCTGTACATACTAGTAGTTCAATTTAACCAACTTTGCTTGTTTGTTTAAATGTTTAATTTTGATCTCATTTTCTGATATTAGTTTTTGAGTGTTTGATATAACTTCAATATTTTGTTGTATTAAGGAGCAACTTTTTCTCTTTTCGTGCTATTTTCATAATCAAACTTACAGGTCGTCCTCGTCAAACTTTTTTCAATTTAGACCTCATAAACCACACAAGAATCTCATGTTAAAATTTAACTTTTGGTAAAAACATCTATACAAATTGTGGTTGGCAATTATAACTAAAAGGAGTAAGCGTTGCTTCCTCAATGCAACAGTGTATATTATATCACATTTTGTGCACACATTTTAGCTATGTAAACTGCACCTGTTTTAAATTGTTTTCTAGTCTTTCTTTTAATATTTCCACCTGCACTTAATACGATAATAGATTTCAGTAGTACTAGGAAGTAGTACTATTGCTTTATGATATGATACATATGCAGATTAAAAAAATAAATACCGAAGTAGGTCTAGTATTTAGCTACGATTGTTGCATTATATTTCAAATGATTCCTAGTGGATTTGAAACAACCCGTTTCTATAACTTAACATAGTTCAGAATGCGCGGAATACGAAGTCGGATAAAACTTAAAGTTAATAAATTTAATCAATTCTCTTGCAAAATATCAAGAAAGTGGAATAATAACACATTAAAAGGCTCACTAGATGTCACAATTTAGCACCTGTGCCGTATTTTATGTGCACATTTGGGACGAAGAAAGCCAAGATATGTAGTTACTCCGTGGAGATTTTATTTTTAGTGTAATTGTTGTCTTTGCAAACGATGAAAAACAAAATATAAAGACTCAACTACCACTCAAGGTAATTTCGTTCAACCCCCATACTTCAGACGAAGCTGAAAACTTACATGAAGCACCCAATGTTTTTGGTACAAAAGAACTTAACTCAGGGTTTTAACCCTATCAACAACTAAAGAAAGAAGTGGGATGTTTTGAAATATGACGCGTCCATTGGTGGTGTTTTAAGACATGATTATATCGAGCTTCTCATATATATATGTTTGTACTAGAGGTATAATTTGAAATATATAAAATTCATGTCCATTCTTTTTGGACAACTTTTTAAAAATGTTTACAAAAGATGGTGCAATATTGCTGAATTCCAAATCGTCAATTCGCACTTTTTGTTTAGCCTAGTGACGCAAGAAAAATGTCTTTAACATGTAAATGAACTCCAGGTGGTATTATTTTCACGGGAAAGTCTGTTTGTTTTTTGGTTTCCATGGTAATGCAGACGATAAAGAAACCGTTACCGAGGAGAACGTTCAAATAGCTCTTAGTGAGCCGTAAACTAAGAATTCTGTCGTCAATTTTTCAATTTCAGGGTGTGCCCTCTTGCCTTGTGTCAAATGCAATTTAATCTATTATTATGGCTTTCTCAACCAAGCACATTCATGGGCACATTTACTGGATGCAAAAAAAATTTACGCGAAATCTAGTTAAACTTACCTATGTAAAATCACTTTCTTTTAAACTTATCCTTATGAGAGAAATATTTTACAGCACGCTGACGCATGGGGGTCAGTTTTCAATATCTCTGACCACGGTGTTAATAGAATCTACGCATGGGAACCCAGTCTTAGACCCCATTCCGATACCTCGATCGATCTAGCGGGATCGGTCCATCTCCGAGGGGATTCTCGCTAAATTGCACTCAGATTAAGTGGCTTAGATATCTGGAGCGCCTACTGAACCTGCTAAACGATAGTTATTTACCCCCTAAGTTGAAGTCTAACAGCTTCAGTAGGCGTGCCAGACATCTACGCCGCTTTAGTTGAGTGCAATTTAGCGAGAATCTCCTCGGGGATGAACCGATCCTGCTAGATCGATCGAGGTATGAGAATGGGGTCCTAGATTTTACTGAGCAGAAACAGTACCTCGAAGGTAGACTCGCCACAGCCGGGAGAAAAGGTCCAACATGTGCCGCGCCTTGGGTCATTTCTGTTAATGAGAAAGTGATAAATTGCCGAGTCTTGAATAGCTTAAAGTCATACCATAATTGTTAGACTTTATATGCTTTTTGAAAGAAACTTTTGAATTTTCCTGCTAATTTTAACACCTTTCACTCCATGACCAAGGTGAACCACACCCAAAACCGTTGGCAGTGACTATCTATAAACCGGTTTTTGAGTTTCTAACGCTTGGAGCTGTGGACCAGTGAATTACACTCATAATGGAAGAAATAAATAAGGGATAAGATCTCGAAAAAGAGTTTATGGATCTTAATTTTTCAGTGGATTTGAAAGGGCATATTTTGGTGATTAAGTGAAAATTTCTTCATTTATTATTATTTTTTTAGGAAAATCAATATTTGCTGCAGGTCCTTATACCTATAATTTTAAGTCTAATGCGTGTTGCATGCCTTGAGCGCAGAAATGTGTCCCGAGGAAGATTACTTACGTAAATTGTGTTGCCCCTACCTGTCACATGTGACCGACCCCAAGGCCAAGTGGTCCAAAGAAAAGAAATAGCAAAGGAAAAGGACCCCCCCTCCCCACACACACACACATACTCACTAAAGATTTCTTGTTTGAGCGTCAAAATGCAAAAATAATTTTTCATAGCGATGCTAACAACTTTATTTATTCAAGATAGTTTGTCGACTTTGTCTACTGGGTATTTGCACTGATTATAGCCTAACACCAACTATTACACGTGCAAGGAAGATCTGATCTTATTCAAGAAGGCTGGTCCTCCTAAGTCGTTTTTAATTATATAGACAGATATGCATGTAGATTTATTATTGCGATTATAAAAACGAAACGGCTAAACAATTTAGCGTCCATCACTTTGACATGGTTTGACTTTGACCATTAAAGTGGACAAAGAGCATACCCTGTTAGCCAGCAGCAAAACGTGGTATAATTATGCATGCGTCAGGTCAATGTGAAATTAATGATGTGTAACGACAGGGACCAAACACTCGTCACCTGACATTCACACGTGCAAAATGGCGCCTTCCAGCACGGTGTCAACTTTGCCAGAGCCTCGACAATTTCAGTTCAAAATTTTGGTGACCGGCGACGTGGGAGTCGGTGAGTGAAATATGACTGGGTAGAAGTTTACCTTTATGAGGGGAAGATAGTGGGGTAGTACATTCATGCTTAACGGGCGCAAAACAACTCTGTTTGTTTTTACGTAACATTCACTGAATGCAACATACCGGTAGTAAAGCTTACAAGTTCTTACATATAACGAAAATCAAATGCGTGTGAAAATGACGAAGTCAAGCTAGGTGCCTTGATGGGCGTTATACTTTAGAGTGAGAATCAAATGTTTGATGTATCCCAACATTTATTTCACTTTTACTTGCTGTGTAATTTCAAATGCACTTATTACGTATTTTCACTTAAATGGATATGCACCTGTACGTTACGTTAAGCACGGGGAGTCTACCTGTTGCTTAATGCGTGCGCTTTAAAGAAAAAGGTAAACACTGCACATTGTTATTGACCTAGGTCGACGCTTGAAGTTGTTTTGGCCTTCCAGGGCATGTTGTGTAAAGATAGCAGTGGCATGTCAAAGAATTGCTGCACGTATAAAATAGCTATATGTTTGGACTGTTTTTATATGATGACAAAGATTATTCATATCCTGAAAACAACTTTTCTCTGTTATATTAGGGCTTTGATATAAACTATTTGAGTAAAGTAGTGTGCATACTGGTATGTTCTTCATTATCATCATATTGCGAAAATAATAAAGTCATTATTGTTGTTAGTATTAAGTAATGATCTCTTGGTCTCTTTGTTAAAACTTATGATTTTTATACATTGATCTGTATATTATTTTATATGCTACCTATAAATTGTGAAATCTCATTGCATGCGATTTTGCCATTTTTGTCTTGTTTTGAATATTTAGGCAAAACCTCAATAGTCAAGCGGTATATGGATGGTAAGCAAAATAATTTATCATAATTTATGAAATTAATTTTTTTTAACTCTTTGTATGGTATCTATATGAAAGATTCACATCAGGCAATTTGAAACAATTTTAGTCCTGCAGGGGAGCAACCAAAGATTTTCTGAAATGGAAAGGGTTGGAGAGAGAAACATAAGGACATATACTTCAGAAAAAAATAATAAAGAAGCAGATTGTGAACACACATGTATATGTCTTTTGTTTTTATATTCATTTTTTTTTGGGGGGGGGGTATGATCCTTACCTTTTAGTCTACCACTGTTCTTTATCTGATTTCATACCCTATTTAATGTGATCCACCTATGGTGATTATAGTTTTAGGTTTATTCATATCAAATAATCTTTAATGCATACTTTAAGATGATTATAATACTTTCAACATATAATAATTTTTTTTGCTGCTTTATGTTTTTACGGTGCCATATCTTTTTCAGACCGCTATTATTTTGCATAAATCAATTTGTACTAAATTTTACATACATAAAAGTACATGTATATAATATCAGCTAAATAAAAAAGTACCAGTTAACACTGAATCATGTTTTTACAATATAAATATGCAATACATGTATGTGCGGACTATAAATCTTAGGTCACAATGCAATTGTAAAATATAATTTCCATAATTATACTTTCAAATTATGTGGTTGTTTTTTTATTGTATTTCCTGGTAGGAGGCTTCAGCACAGATTACAGACTGACAATTGGAGTAGATTTTTCCCTGAAGAACATTGAGTGGAATGAGTCAACAAATGTGAATCTGCAATTATGGTAAATAAACAACTTCTTTCTGTATCAACAATGCAGTTATTACTTATGGAAGAGAATTTTTGAGCAAAAAGGTAAATGATATTAAAATTCTAACTTCATAATTGGGCTTTAATTGCAATGTAAATAGGTAAAGGAGAAATGTCCAACATTTTTATTATCAGGTTGTAGAAAAATGTTTGGCCATTGGGAACCCCCTAAAATGCTTTTTTTTTTTGCCAAACCAGAACAAACTGCGAAATGTTGATTAATTTAATTGGTCACCTTTTCATAGATATTTTTTCTTTAAGGGACATAGCAGGCCATGAACGTTTTGGCAACATGACAGCAGTGTATTACAGGCATGCGTAAGTAAACAAAAGTTGCATTTTAACTGTAGACATTTTTCTCTTAGATTTTGTTAAAAAAATAAATTATATATATATATATATATATATATATATATATATATATATAGTCCTTGAGAAGAAACCACATGAACAATTGAAGAAGTTGAAAATGTAAAATTATAAGCATATTTGAACAGCTTTTATTTATGCTAGGACACAAGAGACCTTGTGATCATCAAAAAATTCTGACATTTCATTTGGCCATTTCAGATCTGCTGCCATCATTGTGTTTGATCCAACAAGGCCACATACTTTTAAGTCTGTATCAAGGGTAAGAAAGAGATTTCAATAAAAAGCTTGTATCTGGGTTAATGTTACTTGCAGTAGATATAGAGTAAAACTAATGATATTTTTAGGAGCTCAAGACAGAAGTTTGTAGTTGGTATTCCAGTGTACAAACATACGGCCATTTTTTTTCATGGCTGTGCCATACCACCAGGTACGCCCACTTGTAGAGGACATGCCTGCCCTGAGCTTAGATATAGTACAAGTGCTCTGCAGACAAATATCTGCCCAAGTCTCTATTTAACAATTAGTCAATGACAATGATAATCTAATGGTAAAAATTGCATTCAACTTGTTTCCCAGTGCTGCTTACTTGCTTGACATCAAATAAATCTTATCCAACTAGATGTTCAGTTCTTACAAGAGATCATACATGTATATATGTTTTTAGATTAGTAGTTAGAAACATATTATGATTATACGTGCATTTTTAAAGAATTAAAATGATTTCAAGTTCTGTCACAGGAAGCAAGTGTTTTTTGGAGATATATAACAATATTGAATATATGGACATAAACTGTAAAAGCCATGTGACTGAAAATGTTTTTCATATCTTCCCTCTTAAGCTGAACATGGTGGCTAGTTTAGTGCTGTGTAGATCCTCTGAGATAACATGATATATCACCTGGTATGCTTTATAATGCCAAAAGAAGAATTTTGTAACAATTCTGTGTGAAATAAGTGACCAATGCAGATTGTAAAGAATTGGTGTTGTATGGGCATATTTCTCTTTTGCTTATCACTCAGGTGGAAAAGGTTCTGAACAGGCCATTGTCTGTTTAGCTGATATAGGTTGTTTACTGTAGAGTAAGTGGAATTTGCTGATTCACAATATTATATACATCTTTTGAATAGTATAGGGAAGGTATTTTCTAATATTGAGGAAAATGACAGCATAACAAAAATTGTAAAGTTTGTTACATATTTTTTGATTATTATTATTATTTTGGTTATTCAACTTCTCTTCACGGTTGTGTTGTACAGAAGATCATCATGCTATTAAAATGTTAAACATCATCTGAGAAAGGTTAAATAATAAAAAAAAAAATGCAAGAATGATCCCTTCAGGTGATGTAATTATGCCCAAAGTTTTTGTTATAACTAATGGTTTGTGCACATGTATGCATACAAGTATAAAAGTAATGGATTATCTAATTATTGTGACATTTTTTTTCTCTATAACTTAGGCTGTCACTCTGCTAGTTACGTATCTCTATATATATTTTTTGCATTTTCAGTGGTATGAAGACTTGATATCCAAGTTTTCAGAAGATGGGATAAGATGGGAAATTCCTGTATTGCTACTAGCTAACAAAGTAAGTGGCAACCCAGAACATAGCAAGCACTTTTTATAGACCATCTTTATAAAGTTGAGTACTGATTATTGATATTGTCAATTTTTTTCTGCTCATCTTTGAGAATGCAAAAAGCAATAAAATTATTTTTCTTACTGTTTCATATTTACAGTGTGATCTTCCTTATGCAAAAATAGACTTTGAAGAGGTGCATGAGTTCTGTGAAGAACATGGTTTTGTTGGATGGTTCCCCACATCAGCCAAGGAGAACATTAATATAGGTACATTAAAATGTTAACTTTTTTCTGCATTAAGTGACATTCATTAAAAACAACGATAACTGTATATAGTTGTCAGGTTTGAAGCAGTGTGGCAACTTTTCCATTACACAAAGCAAGGCTTAGCTTCTAAATTGAGCACATTTTAAATTTTACTCAATAATAACCTTTTCCCAAAACTTCAACATTCCACTGGAGAACAAAAGCTGTTATTCAGGTTTTGCATTCTTTTTTAGATAGTGCCATGATGTATTTGGTTGAAAAGATTTTAAAGAATAAACTTGATGGTTGTAGTCCAGAGTCAAAACAGAGTCGTATAAACCTTGCAGAGGAAGTTGAAGAGGACACTGTGAAGAAAAAGAAATGCTGTTAAATAGTCCAGGAATACTGTATTTTAGAATTTTACCTTGTACATTAAGTTAGGTTTTCTTTTATAGTTTGGACACTCAGGATTGAGGTGTGAGGGTATTGATGAGGTGCTATATTGTTAGATGAAGACACTCTTTAGAAGTTTTCTATTCTGACATGCAAGACAAGGTCTGACTAAGTCTATGTAATGAATTAATGTTCTTTTAATGTCCAAGCTTGAAAAACATGTTAACCATGGCATGTTTTGTATCCTATTAAAAGTATTTTATTTTTCTAGTATGGATTATTACAATTATTATTGCAATCCATCCTTTTATTACAGGAACGTCTGTTTATCTTTTATGCTTCATAACATTTTTTACTACGGGCATTACCTCATGTGATACACATTTAGTTTCTTATACCGGTTTTCCAAACAGCTCTTGTGGGCAAGTCATCAGAACTATCTGACATTGTGGTATTATATGTAGAGAAGTGCTTGTGACAAGAAAAAATTATAAATATTTAAGGGTTTTTTAAACAATGAAACAAGAAACCACAGTTACCAGGTAAAAATTAAAGGATTTACATCTTATAATGACATATTTTAATGGATTTAATTTTTCTTTTCCCCTAGTCTGTGATCTGCCAGGTGACAAACAGACTACATATTTATAAATATGTCATTTTTTGGTTTCAAGGTTTTCTTGGTAACTCAAACCTACAAGTTTTAATACATTGTGTAGTTGAGTATTTTTCAACACATGTATAATTTGGATATTATCTGCAAAAAATGAGATTTGGCATTTCTGCACTGGTTTCCTGCCTGCGGGAGGTCATCATCATGTGGGAATAAAACATCTAAACAAATGAGTGAGATAGTTTTTTTTCTTTTGGAAAATTCAACGACTGGTTCCCAAACCTCCATCTATAGTTTTTCTTATTGACCGTTTTTTTTTTCTTTTGGAAAATTCAACAACTGGTTCCCAAACTGGAAAGGAATTCAAAATACCAATTTATCTTCACAGGAAAAATAAGGGACTGGTTTCAAGAAAAAAAAAAACTTTGTTTTGTTAAGATTTAAAAACTTAAGCTTTGTGAATGGTTCATGCCTTCCTCGCAATGTCACTTTTGTGTAAAATGCACCTTTTGTACAACTACCCATGTAGTAATTTCATCAGAAAAAATGAAAGAATTTAAGTTGATGACTCCATTGTTTACAGTCCCCAATAAACAACTTAAGATGGACTTAAACAAAATTCTCAAACTGAGCATAAGATCTATTTGACATTTTACCAATAATATTTTTGGAGAAGGAAAATGTCCTAAAACATCACAGACAATGAAATTATTACCTTTGTTCTAAAATTTTATACTGGAATATAAAATTGTTAAAATGCTTCTGTGATCCAACTAAAACTTGTAAACCAATATAATATGAAGCTGGGCACATTCATAAATACTACCTTAAAGTTTGCAACTAAGAGGTGAAATAAATCAAAATTACCGACTCGTGTAAATTGATGAAAGCTTTTTAAAGGTTTTTTTTAATTTATTGACTCCAGATAGGCACTAAGGGTGCTTTCCCAGAGATTTAGATCAATCTAAAGATTAAGTTTTAGATCGACCTAACTTCCTGGGGGTTCACGCTAAATTGCAGTCAGCCGAGCGGGCACCATAGTTAATTACCCCCTTACAGCTTTTAGTAGGCGGGACAGACGCTTAAGCCAGCCAAGCTGACAGTAATCTAGTGAGACTCCCCACAGGGATAGATCAATCTAAAAATCTATGGAAATGGGGTGTAAGACAACAAGTTGTTTTTCAATATCTATTTTTAACTCCAAACACTTATAAAAAAGGCAGTAAATGCACATGAGAGGAGTCCCAACATATAAAACGATCTAATCATCTCTGGAAATTATACATTTGGGACATAAAATCAACCTCCATCTATAGTTTTTCTTATTGACCTTTTCTTACCATTCTTATGTAAATCACACATTTCATTAGAATGCATCCAGAAAAATTTAACTTTGGATATATTCATTGTTCATGTGGTGATGTCCAAGTTTTCTAGTAAGGTTTTTAGAAGCGACATCTTTTGTGGAGCAGAATCTTTATAAACATCTGACATGGAATGGCCATTATTCACAGTCCCATGGCAATCCATTCAGAGAAGTTTTTTTCACTCCAGTGCTATACAGATGAAAGCTACCTCTGCATCCCACCAACCTGAGGAGCAGTCGCTCCAGGCAGTTCATTACTTGCCACTTTATATTCAAGAAATCTTTGGGTCATTCTTTGTGTCAACTTGAGGTATTTCTCCATGCAAGTTGTGGAACAGGTTTTCTAAGAAAATTAAAGATGAAAAATATGAAGTACGTATAAGATGTCTTGGGTTCATTTCATAAATCAAAATGCAATCCAGACAAATGTAGCTTGTGAAATAATTTTAAAACAATGTTTTATACAAGATTATATATAACTGTCATTATCTTACTAGTACTACAATACTGACAAGTGATTCAAATGTGACCAAAATTTATTGTTAATTTTTCAGGGGTGTTTGAAATTTGATCAATCTTACCTCTTTATTTAGAACTTTTCTCGAGGTAAAATCATGGACACAATCTATAAAACATAACTGTGTAACCTTTTCATATGTGGACATAAACTGCTTGAACTGCAAAGAAAAAAAATAATTTTAAATGTTCAACAGTTTCCTCTAATTTCAAAACTCACACACATGAACGTAAATTTTCTTTTATACACCATATATGACTCAAGGAAGAGGATGTAACAAAAATGTTTTATCATGCTAAGGTATTAGGCTTTTATCCTACGTGAAAGCCATTAAGCCAAGTAAACTATCATTCTATGTAGATCAATCCACTTCTACAGGGACTCGCGCTAAATGCAGTCAGATTAACTGAAAAGCAGCAAGGGGTTGATTAACTTTCCTGTGCGCTCAGCTTCTAGAGGCCTTTAAATTTACTTCATTTGAGTGCAAGGAAAGCATTCAGCGAATGGCCCTGCCGAGTTCTATATAGAATGACAGTTTCATTGGGAATGCACCCTTAGACTTCAAAATAAGCACATAAGCACACATACATACACATACTGTTCATTTACAACATGAGGATGGCAATTATGTATGGAAGTAAAAAATTTGTGCAAATCTTGTCATCAAACTCAGCCTTGCTGACCTCATGGAAATCAGGAGGCTATTCAAGTGCACTGCTCTGATTCAACAGAACTTTTCAATTCATTATCTCTGGTTTTCTTTAACATAAAAGGCCATTAACTTCATCAAATCTGGTACAAGGGCACTGAACTCTGATCCAGAAGACATTTGAGTAGAGTATGTACTTCACATGTAAGGACAAGAAGTAGAAGTTTGCTCAAAACTATGAATGCATGGATTAACTGGTAGGCCTATCTTGGCTTTTTTTGTTCCAAATATCCCCATTTATGGCCCATATGCTGAACTATTGAATGCCCAAATCATAGACAGTAGTGTGTGAAAATTAATCGGAAGGCAAACTCTTTCAATATGAAAAAGAGACCAAATGTGACAGTTGCTTACCTACTCTAATGAACTTCTGGTTTGGAGTTAACCCTTTTGTTAGAGTACCTGACAATTGTTTTCATACCCAAAATAATTCATTTGATATTTACCTGTGCTTCCACGGCTCCAGCAGGGATTTCTTGAGCCATCTTTCATTGAATAAAGATAAACTCTTAAAAAAAAGAAATATTAGTTACATTATGTTGCTGCAAAGTACTGGTATAAGATAATTGCCTTTAACTATATAGCTTATCAATGTTTCAAAACAATAATAGAAGGGCTAGAGACTGGTGATTTCATCTGTATCATATGTTTAAGTTGTGATCCATCATGTGCACATGACAAAACAATGGCAAAATAATTTTCAAGTATTGTTTTTCAGTTTTTCCCTTATAAATTGATCAAGGTGGATATAGCAATTCCTGTCTGAATCTCTTCTCTTTCTCTCTCATTTTTACATATTCGACCATTCTCATTATTATTATTATTTGAAATTGACAATACTTCAAATCTTGCACTGAAATTTTTGACTTAGCTGGCGATGAGTGATGAATTTTAGAAAAACTACAGCTATTCAATTTATCGTAAAAAGCATGCTTTTTCAGTAACGTACAAGTTGCGAAGATATCAGACGCTATTTGGAGGTTGTACCACTTCTCTCCTAATTACGAGAAGGAATTGAAAATGGATTTTACCTATATACATGTTTGTATCTTATCTATAAAAAAAGCATCGAAATTGTAATCTAAAGTCACTGACTGGCTTCTTTTGCACTTACTATTTACTTATTTGCACTCTTGCATCACAGAGAATAGATAATCCTGAACAGTAATGTTAAAAGAATGACCAAAACAACTCAGGCTTATGCAAATAAAATATTTATGCAATGAAAAGGGCAGTTCGTTTGTACAAGCAATTTCTGTAAATTTTCAGCTACACATGTACCTTTTTCTTCTCCTCTCACCACATGTATTTCAGTTATTTTCGATAGGTGGCACAAATGTCAAGATAGATTTGAATGAATGGATTGTGCATTGAAACCATTAGAATAATCAACCTTAAAGTACTTTGTTTAAAATAAACTTATTGTATGTACCTCTCGGGGAAAACTTTAACAAATTGTATTAAAAATTTGATAAACTTTAAAAAGCACGTCTTGTAGACAATGTTATTTAGTATAGAAGGCTTTCATTGGCTCATAAAGTAGCATATTTTGGGGTCTCGGAGATTTGAACCAATCAAAATTAGGGCTTTCATTTTCCCATGAAATACAATCAAAATGGCGACAGCGGGTAATTAGAACGGATAAAGTAGGATCTTAGTTGATTTACATTCAGCAATAAATCAGCGTTGAGGTTCCTAGGCTAACGACGACAGGTTATTTTATATCTGTATCACTTTCTCTCTCACAAGCGCATGCACCACAGAATATGCATACAAACCCACATGCACTCACTTCATTTAAAGTAATCACCTTAGATGATTTTGTATTTTCGAAGTTTATGAAAGATAAAAAATTAATACCACTCTCTGATGTTTCAGTTATGAGTTCATCGAGTTCTCTGGGAGAAAGAAATGGACCTTCCGCTGGAACCTCCAGTGCTTTACTCGGTATCACTGAGTCGGCAGTAAAGTCTCTTAATGAAAACCGGGTGCAAAGTCTTTCTGGACAATCAAGTAGAATCTCATACCAAGAAGACTGGAGATCTTCAGTTATTTCGCCCATTACAGTTGATAGCAAAGGGGGAACACACTCAGTGTCGTCAAATATATCTGGTGCAACAACCCCCACATTGGTCACACCTGATGTAAAAGATAGATCAAACAACAGTTCGACTGCAAGTGAAATCCTTATCCAGTCTACCACTATAAATCCTCCAGATATTGTGAGGAAATCTGTCTCATCCTCTAGATCTACTTCTAGTGCAACATCTAGGGCTAGTTCTGCTCAGAGCTTTGGTGGTGAAAACAATGTCAGGAGGGTCAAAGTGAAAACCAAATTTTTACGTGAGATTAAATCTCCTTTTGAAAATGCAGAGAGTGCACAGTCATGTGATGAGAAAATCCCTCTACCCTTGACCAAACAGAAGAATTCAAATAATGTTGAGAATATTCCACCCATAAAAAACAGTGTGGAATCAAAGAAAAATCACAAAGAGATAGTTGGAATCTCAAATAGAGAAAACAGTTCATTAGTTAATAGACTGAGAGAAAATGAAAGAAAAAACAAAGATTCAAAGTTTAGACCTGGAGGATCTGAAGTATTTGATTCCTATGAGAGAACTAAAGGACCAACTAGTAATAACAAACCAGCCACTGAATTACATGACTCACCAAAAGCCCAGGAAACATTCAGTACACTAAATGATGCTGATGTTGAAGCAACAAAAAGAACAGAGCAAGTGAAAGTTGGTGAAAAGTCAATTTCCACCAACCTGAAAAGGCTCAGAAATGAACAGATCGAATTGAAACCAAGAGATGGACAAGAAGTAAAAGTAAAGACAATATCAGCAGTTCCAACTGAACACCAGCTACCAAGAAAACTTGAGCATTTACACATGCAATACCTAGGGAAAGAAGGTAAATTAGCAGAATTGGAATAAAGGTACATTTCAATCTTACAGCCAAAGTAATAATTTAGATTTGGGTACCTATTGTTGTCTAAAATTATGATTTTACATAAAAAAAATAAAAGTATTAACATATATTTCATTTTTTAGAAATCACTTGTTTCAGATATTAGGGAACACCCTAATATTAGGGAGGCAGATACTAATGAAGCAGATATAGTCACAGTTCCAGAACAGATTGTCACCATCACTGCATCCAACATATTGTCCACATCTGCCAGTGATAAATCATCCTCATTCAGTGAAGTTGAAATTCCAAGAGGACAGCCAGATGCATGGAAGAAAGTAAATATGTGAAACTTGTTGAAAAAATTATGAATCTATGATAGAATACATTGTAACACTGCTGTGATATTCTGTCCACAGATAAATGTTTGTGGTGCTGACCAGATGCCTAAAGCTCAGATTAGTTTTATTATGGATTCTGAGCCTAAAATAAGCGAGCTTTAATGTCAATGTTAATTTAACATGTTTGTCCTATTTTTTATGATATCACTGGCCTGGAGAATATCTTCTCTAACAAACTTTAAAGTGTGTGTTGTTGTCATTTCTGCTGATGCAATACATACATACATACATTTTTCTTTTTTCGCTTATATTACTCCTGCTTGAAACCATTTCATGTTCTTTACTCTTGTTGAATTTTGTCTGAATGATTTTTACATATTATGTGTGTATGTGTATATTATGTATGTGTATATTATGATTCACATGAGTTTTTTCATTATCTCAAAATCAGGTGATGAAAAGGTAATTCTTGTCTAAGAGACTAAATAATGAGAAGTCCTAGGGTTTACAACAGTGTATTATTGAGACATTGTGTATGACTCATAATTTAATCTCATAGTCGAGAATGATTTTGTTTAAGTGATGTTTTAGTACTTGCATTAAGTTTCTGATAAAGAATAATATCAATAAAACACTAACTTAAAAAATACAATTAATAAAAAACTTAAAATTTGCCTTATTTGCAGCCTAACAGGGGAAAAGTGCTCAGACAAGGGAGCAAAGTTGACTCGTCTGGTCCTTTGACGAGAGATCAGAGCGGAGGAGATGAAGTGCACATCTATCAATACAAACTGAATGACAAACAAAAATTGTTGAAAGAGAGTTTTGCCAAAAGGTAAATGATAATCATTAATTGAGAGGAAAATTAGTATTTTTTTATTTTCTGGAAGCAATACATGCCTTTTTGTATAACAGTCATACTGACAGTTTCCAGATATGTGATGGTGTGTTTTTTAAAATGATTATTGGTATAATTTTTTTAGTGATCCGAGAAACTTACTCCACAAAGAAACTGGCACTACTTCCACCTATTACTTTAATTTTATTTATTAATTGATTTATTTCTTGAATGTCTGTGTATTAAGGTGAGGTAAGGAAAGACCACAGCAAGAAGCAATAAGTAAGAAAGTATTGCTGGAAAAATTCTAGTGTATTTTTATGTCTGTACTAAGTTTGGACAGTAGTGGTCACATATATTGTATTTAATAAAGTTGTAAACAAAAAAATAGATGCTGCAAATTATTTGTTTTAGAAATCTTTTGAACATGTATTTAATCCATCAATTTTAGAAATATTTAAGACATAAAGGATTCAATGATGGGAGTGTTTTTGCCACATATTTATTGCAAGATATATTATTTTATTACATTAGACCAGGAGGACCAGTGAAGAAAGTGGTACAGGCACAGTATGTTGGTAAAGATCAATCAGCTGAGGTTCCAGCACCTACTGCAGCCCAGCCTGTTCCTGCTGCCTCTACCACAGCATTGCCTTCTGATACACTGGCTACTGCTTCTGCTATTGCTGCCTCTTCTGCTGTGGCAGCCACTCAACCTTTCTTTAAGGTACAGTATTAAATGTGTTAATGGCTATAGGATTGAATTATTCATGGAATACGGCCAAGTTTAATTTTCTCTAATTTTATTTATTTATTTATTTATTTGACCCATTATTAGTGGATCATAATTATTAATATTAGGTTGATCCTCTCAGTTTAAAAACAATAATTTAAAAGAATGAAATCATTTTCAGCATGTAATAGGCCCACACTGTTAAATTTTTATGTTATGAATTCTTGGCTATTAGTTTAAAAAACAAATAACAACTAAACCTCTGTAACCTCTACAAAATGAAAATCACGTCTCACCTGAATTTAAAAAGTATCTCAATGCTGTAACATGGAAGATTTGTGGAAGGTCCCTACTTAAATATAGCAGGAACAAAGCTATTTCAATCACTTAAATTAAAAACTATTTTTTAATCATTGTGAAGGCCCAACAGGAGCTTGAGGGTAAAATAGCTGCTTTACTAGAAGAGATATCCTCTCTAAAAAAACAACCATCCAAGGCAGAACCTCAGGAACAGGTGGACCCAAGAGAGCATAACTGTGATAAGGGGAGAAAAGTTAAAGAACTGGAGAAACAGCTAGAGGAGGTGACCAAGAGGAGGTTGGATTATCTGGAGAGAATGCAGCAGCAGCAGATGGAGTGGCAGGTAGGAGAATATGTGGACCTTCATATATAAATTAATATTATCATTCCCAATGTCATTGTTATAACGATGGAAATAGATAATTCATAATTAAATTTTGCTGTCTTTAATCATTATAGAATGAATAAGATATGTTACATTTTTATGATTTTGAAATAGTCTCTGATATTATTAGAATTTTTATTTATTTATTTATTTATTTATTTATTTATTTATTTATTTATTTATTTATTTATTTATTTATTTATTTATTTTTGGTGAATAATTGACACATGTTGGTGGTTTGTGATCAGATTGGCTCACAATGATTTACAGTCATAATCACAACATTGTTTAGATAAGATACACTTAGTTACATAGTCACAACTAAGCTGGAAATATGTTTATAGAAATAGAAAACATGGTGGTTTTACATGTTAGCCCCTGACACCCTGAGCTTCAGAGATAACTTGACACTAACCTCTTCACAATAGCCTATCTTCATCGTGTCAAGTTACCTCTGACCACATTCGATTGCCCATGCTGCCCGCCAATCAAATTTAAAGCCCGCACTCAATAACTCATTGAATGATCTAGCCAATGAACGCGAACGAGTCAAAGCGCGCTTTGTTCAAATCCGGACCAATCAAAGATAAGGCTGAATATCAGGGACTTGCCGTAACCTGTGGGCAGCACGCAAAATACATCATCCCTCAGTAGATAATGATGCAGGGCCTCAAACTGCTCTGGTTTCAATTCCGATATACTCATATTTTGCAAAGAATCAAGAGATAACTTAACACATTATTTTACGTAGTCACTCGTAGGAGACGCCATGCTTTCTTTGTGTACAGTTATGCACTCGGAACTACTTGGATGTCTCCGCACTCGACAATAACTTTGTTGTTAGTATGGAGCTTGCGGAATCAGCTGAGGATTACCGATTGACGGTCAACCAATCAGCGTTTTCACCAAACTTTGGTGAAAAATTTTGAAACTTGGATTCGATTGGCTTATATAAACTAGGTCAAACTATTTTCGTCAGAGGTAACTTGACACGATGAAGATAGGCTATAGTGAAGAGGTTAGTGTCAAGTTATCTCTGAAGCTCAGGGTGGCCCCTGACTACTTCACATCTTTGTCTTGTTATCAAATTATGTCTTCCAAAAACGATAATAGTTGTATGGTGTTAACAAAACTGACAGTTTCCAACTGAGCCTGCAGGTTATTTGATGAGTATTTATTTGTGGTGTACTTCTTAATTATTGTTTTAATGTAGGTGGTTACAAAGCCTTGCATTTTCTCATTTTACACATATATCATAACATTGTTTTAAATAAGAATGTGGAAAATTTCAACATTTTTAAAATACATATAGCTTAACACAAGTCATCATTGGTACTTTTTCAGATAAAACTGCTGTCGGTCTCAAGAGAAACCAGACCTGAACCAGAAACCTATATAAAACAAGCCTACCCACGGGACAGAGAATCCAAGAGTAATAAACACCATTACTACCATCATCCTGAATCAAACCAGAACATTGCGTCAGCTCTGAGTCCAGGTTATATTAACTATAACAGGCATAGTGACTTTGATATTCACAAACCACCTTTCCAATCCTATGGCTCATCTCAACAGAGAAGTCCCAGTAAGTCCAAGAGTGACTCTTATCTTGTCCGAGGGTCTAAACCCTCTGTGCAGTTCATATCTCCGTCCAAGGATAAGTCCCCTGTCCAGTGGTCATCACCCCTGGACACTCCGGCCCCAAGGAAGGGACCACCTGTGCCCACTTCTTATGAAAGAATGAAAGAGGAGAGGGAGGAGAGAAGACCTGAAAGACCTCCATACAGAAGTAGGTGGCTGATGCACTGGAGCAGTTTAGTTTGTTACTAGGCAATAGTTCTATTCATTTGTTAACCTGGGTTCTTTTTATGTTATTCATATGTTTGTGTTTACTGGAACAATGTGACTGCAAATTGGTAAATTAGTTGCCTTTAAGCCACAACAAATTTTCTTCAAACAGTAAAGTTTATAGATTTGACACAGCACTTTCAAGACAGATTTATAATATTTTGATATTGCATAATATAGAAACTCATGCTCTCCATAAAAGAATAACTAAAGATTCCTTTATTTTAAATAAATTGACCATGAATGTCACTGTATCCCATTGGAAATTGAATGGTTGTTTTCATGACACCTGCTTATGGTCTTATTTTACAAATAAATAGATAATATTATACTTTTGTACTTTTGAGATTATCTACTGAATATCAGTTTTTTTCTTTTCATTTTCAAACCAGGTGGTCAGCTGTTGGAGACTATCTTGTCCCATGAAAGTCCTGTATTAAAATCTGAGCACTCCCCAGCTACAAGATCTAGAACAAGGTGAGTAATGGGCTTCTTAGAAATATATATAGGGAGATTATGCTGTTGTCTTGAATGGCTTGATCAATCCATATTTTTTTGCATTCTCCTGGAAACTTTTATACAAATGGGGAATGTCATTTAGCTTACCTTTTTTGTGCCCACAAATTAATTGTTTGTCATCTTTACCAAGTATCGAGATGGTCTCATTTTTCAGAAAATGCTCTTCTCCAGAATTCTTATTGTCACATGCCTGAATTTCTCCCCAGGTAAAGACTTGAATTGCCATTTTGTGTTTTTATATTGTGGTTAGGCTCTCAGTAGGGTTTAAGGTCAGTATTACTGCACACTGTGACTTGAACGAGTTCTTATATTTGATCATATGTGTAAGTGGCTTTAACAATATGCTTGGTTGAGACATTGCAGGTGCACATTTGTTAACTATAGATCTAAGCCTAATCTTTGTTAGCAGATGATTCATTCATTATTGACTGGTCAGGTTGGTCAAAACAAGGTCTCGTTGGACCATTAATTTTCCAAAAAACTCTCATGGTATTGTATTAACATGGTGCCTTCAGTGAGTGGCTGGTGAAGGGTTAAGTCCAAGTGGCAGATGCCTAAATATAAGATTACTATCCCAGTCTGTGCTGTACACTTTTCAGCTTACTGCCTATTTGGACAACCACTTTCTTAAAATGTACTGGTTCCAAATTAGAATTCGCAGGTTCAAATAAAAATTTCAGTAGGACTGGACGTTTTCCCCTTTTGTGTTAATATTGTCAATAACAACACCTTGATTTTGTCAAATGTCTTCTATTTTAAGAATCATCATGTAACAGTTCATAACAGAAAAAAAATTAATCAAATCAAAAACCAAATTCCTATGGGTGATTTTTATTATATCACCAAACACAACTTTACTGGTCGCCAGTGGCTATCATCGCAGACTGCTCTACAGTCACCATCAGGAACTGAATCCCAATGGGACAAATATGGAAAGGAGGTGATATTTTAGGTTAAAGAAACAACTTTCACCCTTTACCTGAAACATCTGATACTTATCTAAAAGGTCAGACCATATCAATATAATGAGAACATGCATGTTTATATGTTAAATAATCTTTGGGGAGAAAATGATGACAAAAATCAGTCACATTGAATAATGCTAAGATTATAACTGCAATGAAGCCAAAGACGACCATATTTTACAGGTGTACTGATGTCAAAACTTAGTTTAGTTCTTATTTTCCTATATATATTTTTGTTTTTCAATGTTATTCAAGCCTCCAACTTATGGAAACATTGCATAGAAATAATGGAGGTGGTTGTTTTGTATTCACAAGACTTCCTGAGAGGCTTATGACTCGTACAGGTCAACATTTGATGAATGCACCAAAAGGTCATGCTATACATCATTAATATAATTTGTAAAATACATAAATATAAGTTATCGAGCAAATAAAATTGGGTAATCCCTGCTTTGCTTATATAATATTTTTTTAGAATAAAATTAGTCACAGCAAATTGTAAAAGACGGGAATTTTTCTACCCTTCATTGCATTATTTGCGTATATGTATTCGAAAACAATATTACTGAATCTTCAAAATTTCCTTTCATAAAATTTTTGTTTAGAAAACTTATTTTAAAACATTGTAGATATGAATTTGATTTTTCATGCTCATTTATTTCGTTAAACATAGCTGGTGTTGTGTACCATAACCTTTATATAAACAAAGTTCTATTATATATTCTTTGATATGGCATCATGTTTTTATAATATTCCTAGACAAATTATTTCAGATCCAGATACTTTATAAAATCTTTTCTATACTATATTTATACCCTGTCATTCTGCCATTATGTCTCTTTGCTTTACTGCCTTTTTTTAATATTTGTAAACACTCCTTCCTGAAAATAGTTGCTCAGTGATTGAGCCCATCCCTGTTACCGTTGATGTTGTATTTTTTTCCATACAATAAAGCACTTGAAGAACTTGTTGACAAAGCAGGTATTCAAAAAGAAAAAAAAGGACGTTAACATGTTCGTCTCCTACTCAGCTGTAAATGATTTATATGCATATATTTACAAATAATGCAACTGCTGAGAAACCCTGTCTTACAGTTGATATTGATTATGATTTCTCTCTGTTCTTAATGTGTATTTAATTGGGCTATTTCAAATGAAAAATTGGCAAGGGGAAAAGATATGCTGAGACCATCACTGTAGCTAGTTACCTGTAAAGGGCGATTTTTATTATACCTTGGAATAGAGTACATGCAAACCTGCGATTAATGTCATTTTGATTCAGTGAAACTTTAAGGGAAGACAAATGCCTTGGCGTGAGGTAAGCCATGTGCAGATGTGAAAAGGGGACAGCATGCAAATTGATCATTTCAAGAAAAAAAATTCTTACGCTTTTAAGAAAGTGTATTGACAGAACCAAGGTACTTTGTCAAAAAGGTGATCCCACATATTTGTGTCATTTTGAAAAAAAAAAAGAAAAGAAAAGAATTTCAATGTTTTGAGTATCACATAGATGCGAAAATGACAGCCTTGAGTCAGATCAATACTGCCCGAGAAGATTAATCTTTTTTTTTTTCAAATGATGTTGAACTTGCTACAAGATACATGTTTTAGACCATTACAAAGACTGTGAGTTGCATTGTTATAAACGGCGAAAAACCAAGAATTGCGCGCCGACTGGAAAACCATCTACCCAATATTTATTCAAACAACAAAATTATAAGAAAATTGAAAATGCAAACAATAATAAAAAAAGCGGAAAAATTCAGTAAAATTTTATAAACGATCTTCTTAATACCATGAACCGGGGTCAATTCTAATTTTTTATCGTTTCATTATAAAAGTTCTTAGCCCCAGTGAAGTAAGAGCCGTGGCCGAGTCCATCTGTCACCCGGGCAGTCACATGGTCATGTCGTGCTCCACGTGCAGGACTCGCCTATGAACACCCGCGCTTAGTGACATGTGGCTGGATGACATACAACCTCAAGAAAAGATACTCTCGGTATAATGATGAAAAAAAAACATTGAATCGTTTATTCAGCTCTCAGTTGTAAAAAATTCATGTCATTGTAATGCAAGAGCTGCTGCTTACGGATAATTCAGTTACGGTTATGATAATGACGCAAAATGGCGAATTTGATCTTTTTGTGGAGGTCTGACAGGCGAGGGTGTGCGTGCGTTGATAATAATGTAGTTAAGAAAAAACTAACCTCTTTTATTTAGCTATTGCGCGCCACTTAAAAATTTTGTGCGGTACCATCTATAACGAGCATATCGCATGTTATTGTTTCATCATCACCAGCTCTCTTGGTGCGACATCTGTCAAAACACAATTGGCGTGTTATACTGCTGTTATCCGAAAAGCGGCAGGTTACATATATGGCTATTAGTAATGACACCGAGGATTGAAAGTTGGGGCATAATTCGTAGTTTGCGTGACTAGCAGTCACGAAACTCCTCTGATCCCTCGGGGTACAGCCGTCTTGTTTTATGAAGCACATCTCAGAAAAGGAGACGACAGCGGTTGGTGGCGGGGTCGCTCGGCAGTGCACTCGTTGTCGTTGGCTGTCTGCCCGCACCTTTCCGTGGGGTATGACCATGGGCAATTTGTTCTGTATTTTAGCAGATGGCTCGAGGAAGAAACGGTGTTAATGCCTTTCTTTATTCTTTTGGTTATTTAAACTGGAATTTTGACCAATTTTCTGTTGACTGGTGAGAATTTGCTCACAGTTTGCACTCCGTGTCCCCGTCAAAGAAGTGCGCTCTGTCGTGCTCTGCATGCAAATCTCATATTTTCTTTTGTCACCAATTACTCTGTTTTCAAAGCGACGCACTGGCTTGGGGCATTTTAGTGAAACCTTGCCCTTTTTATCGCTGTGTGGTGCGCTTCCCGCCGACATGCGAAAGGAAGATATATTATAGCTATTCCAAATCGTACTCGTCCAAAAGACTCCGATTTTAAATTTAGTGAAACCGTGCCCGCAGATTGTATGCGGCAATATTTGTCATTTGCGATTCAAACTTGCTCGGGCAATGCACCAATTACACTATCACGACCACTAACTGCAGGGCGTACACTCACGATCATGCAACCAGAATTTCCATTTTCTAAAGTTATTTCAGGACCGTGACCGCAAAATTTGTCCAGCAAAAGAGTTGAGGAAATTTATACACATCCAAAACGTTCCCGACCGCGTGAATTCCCTATTATTTTACCACCAGCGTTAGCGCTGGCGGTACACATGGTTTCGGTCCCGTCCGGATCGTTCCGCCGGCTCCGCCGGCTCCGTTGGCTCCGCCGGATGGCTACCGTTACCGCTTCTCCTCCTAGACGGTAAGGGCCCCCGTACCCATCTCATGGATTTAGGTCACCTATAATCTCAACTCGTTCCACGTAAAATTTGGGCTTTGTCGGTATTGGGGTCTGGGTGTGGCACTCATTGCAATGCACCCTTGTCTAAAAATGGCAAAATTAAATGCTAATTATCTACCCTACGGAAGGGGTTATGGGAAAAATTTCTATAGACGGCTTTCCAAAAGTCATATGTGTAGATTTCAAATATACCCTTGGATTTGACCTTTGACCTTTACTTCAAGGTCAAATGGGCCAAAATTTTCAAAAAAATGAAATTTTTTACGAAAAAA